GGCCATGTTTGTGGAGTCTCCTAAGAACTTCTCGGACATGCTCCTGATGTGAAGCCATGTCTTCCAAGTAGGTAGGGATGTCATCTAGGTAGACTACCACAGAAACGTCCAAGAGGTCAGCAAAGATTGTGTTGACAAATCGCTGGAAGGCTGCAGGTGCATTCATGAGACCGAATGGCATGACAAGCCATTTGTAAGAACCATAGCGTGTGCAGAAGGAAGTCTTCCATTCATTGCCTGCTGCAATGCGAACCAGGTGGTAAGCATGCCAGAGGTCGAGTCTGGTATAGACTGTGGCATGGCTAGGTGCATCAAGGAGGTCTGAAATGCGGGGGAGTGGATAGCGATCCTTTTTGGTGATCTTGTTCAGCCCCCAGAAGTCAACGCAAAGATGGAGGGATCTGTCCTTCTTGTGGATGAAGAGGACCAGTGCCGCATGAGCGGAAGTAGTGGGACAAATGAACCCGGAGGCTAGGTGTTCACCTAAGAATGCCTGGAGATCCTCAAGTTCCAAAGTAGAGAGGGAGTACATAGTACCCAAGGGTGGTGAAGTGCCTTCCTTGAGGTCGATCTTCAGGTCATGCTCACAGTGTGGTGCCAGCGTCAAGGCTTTGCTCTTACTGAACACATCTGCGAACTCATGGTACTCCTTCAGAATGGCTGAGAGTTCAACGGAATCAGTGTGGGATGAGGCAGCCCTCAAGCAGCTGTCCTCAGAAGGGATGGTTAGGCTGAAGGATACCAATCCTTCAAGTCGACAAGCCTTCACAAATGCGGAACAGCTGATGAACTCAATAGATGGTAATGGAGGAATGGGAGCCTGTGGCTGAGGTGCTGGCAGAACATCAGATGGTTGGATGTCGGACGATGGCAGTGGTGCCAGAGACAACAGGGGAGAGCTCAGAGTAACTGTCTTGGTAGGTTCGGAAGTTTGGAATGTAGTACTGCTTGAGACCCAGTCAATCAATGGATTGTAGTGGGTAAGCCAGTTGTGTCCTAGGACTAGGGAACATGATCCATCCAGTGATGTGACAAAGAAAGTCGTGGGGGTGATGTTTCCGGAAGCAAAGCAGAGGGGAATATCAACGGCATGGTTTATGATTGAGTTAGTGCTACCATCAAAAAGGCATAGTTGTAGGGGCTTAATCTGATAGTGTGAGGACATCGCAGCCGGTTTGGCATATCTACATTTATTCACACCTCAGGTGGTTCATGGTGATTTGAAGGGAGTAGGTCTACTCATTCATTTCTAACCCATCCCCCGCTCATAAGAATCCATATTCTTTATGACAGGATAATATTTTAAGATGATCAACGTGCCTCAATTTGCAACTTTGGTCTGTCGATGTTGCTCAATGATCAATCACCCTCCACTACAGCGGCTATGACATCAAGTGTGCCTTCCCCTTCATTTGGTGGAACAATTAGGTACCATCAGCAAAAGTCCATTATGCTCCGGAGCATCAAGAGTGGCTGGAGCATGTGGGAGACAAAACAGCAGATTGGGCACTCCTGGAGCCAATAGTGTTCTCCTGGGAGGGGGTTCAGGAGCAGCTGGGAGTGGTGAGGAGTATGTAATGTGCCAGGAGCAGTGGGAGGAAAATTTTTGGTCTCTAAAAAGTTGAAAAAAAAAATTTAGGGAAAAATCAAAAAGAAATTCAGGAACTATAGCAGACTCCTTCCCAGTCGCTCACATGATTTCTCCGAGGTTTAGCCGCAACTTACGTTGCCTCTGAAATCTGTCGAGCGACTGGTACAACTTGCAACACGTGATGTTCCCACGCTAAGTTGTAATGAGTTGTACATAGGTTACGGAATATAATTTTTAGTATTTACGCATGCGGTCATTGTACCCAACCCAACCCGTGGAGACTAAGGGAGCACATCCAAGGTTGTGAAGTTAATATCCGGGTGTGTGCGAAGATTAACAGTTTATATATTACTTGGTTGCCAGTCACTTGTTTGTGCCTGGTGGTATAAGTGGTATAGCGCTAGCTGGGGCTATGCAGTTTTTTTGAGTGGCACATGTTCGATTCTCACTTAGGAAACTTTTTTTTTTCATACCCTCCACTCCTTAGTGTACAGAAAACAACCATTTCACACAATTATTCCATGGGAGGGCCCAAAAAAGGTTTTCCTAAGTGAGAATCGAACATGTGCCACTCAAAAAAACTGCATAGCCCCAGCTAGCGCTATACCACTTATACCACCGGGCACAAACAAGTGACTGGCAACCAAGTAATATATAAACTGTTAATCTTCGCGCACACCCGGATATTAACTTCACACCCTTGGATGTGCTCCCTTAGTCTCCACGGGTTGGGTTGGGTACAATGACCGCATGCGTAAATACTAAAAATTATATTTCGTAACCTATGTACAACTCATTACAACTTAGCGTGGGAACATCACGTGTTGCAAGTTGTACCAGTTGCTCGACAGATTTCGGAGGCAACGTAAGTTGCGGCTAAACCTCGGAGAAATCATGTGAGCGACTGGGAAGGAGTCTGGAACTATAGTGCCTTTAAAGTGCTTTCAGGACATATAATTATTTGCAAAATTGAGGAAGAAATGATGGAGAAAAATGGAAAATACTTTCGGAGACCCGAGAAATAATGAGAACTGAATTGATGGGAAAGTCTGAAAATTGAATAGGAAAGTGAGGGGAAGCCTTGTAAGCATTGTTATTTTCTGCTGTTCTGATTTTTCCTGATTGTTCTTGGTCTCACTCCCAGCTGCTCCTGGACCCTCCCAGGAGCTTTCAGGAGCTTCCAGGAGTATTGAGGAGCAGCTGGGAATGAGACCAAGAAGAATCAGGAAAAATCAGAACAGCAGAAAATAACAATGCTACAAGGCTTCCCCTCACTTTCCTATTCAATTTTCAGACTTTCCCATCAATTCAGTTCTTGGGTCTCCAAAAGTATTTTCCATTAGCTGCTCCTGGACCCTCCCAGGAGCTTCCAGGAGTATCCAGGAGTATCCAGTAGCAGCTGGGAGTGAGACCAAGAACAATCAGGGAAAATTAGAACAGCAGAAAATAACAATGCTACAAGGCTTCCCCTCACTTCCCTATTCAATTTTCAGACTTTCCCATCAATTCAGTTCTCATTATTTCTTGGGTCTCCGAAAGTATTTTCCATTTTTCATTTCTTCCTCAATTTTGCAAATAATTATATATCCTGAAAGCACTTCAAAGGCACTACAGTTCCTGAATTTTTTTGATTTTTTTCCCTAATTATTTTTTTCAACTTTTTAGAAGTCCCTATTTTTCAAATTTTCCTCATTTCCCTCTATATCCCCCCTCATTCCCCCCCTCATTCCCCCCCTCATTCTCCCCTCATTCTCCCCCTCATTTCCCCCCTCATTCTCCCCCATTTCCCCCCCTCATTCTCCCCCATTTCCCCCCCTCATTCTCCCCCATTTCCCCCCCTCATTCTCCCCCATTTCCCCCCCTCATTCTCCCCCATTTCCCCCCTCATTCTCCCCCATTTCCCCCCCTCATTCTCCCCCATTTCCCCCCCTCATTCTCCCCCATTTCCCCCTCCCCCATATTCTGCCAGCCCCATATTCTGCCAGCCTGAAAGTGATTAAGTTGCCAGATTAATCATATATCAGGCCATAAATTTTGACTGTGTATTGGTGAGTCTCAGTGTCCTTGATATATAGTATAGTGTTTGATCTAAATGTTAAGCAGTGTCTTGTTGTGTTAGTCTTGTGGTAGGAGGTATTCATGGGGGATCTTCCCTCTTTTTTTCCTTTTTCATTTTCAAATGCTCCAGGAGCTCCCAGAAGCTTCTCACCCCTATACACTTTGAAGCATTTAAATTGTATTTACTGGATATGTTTGTGCACAAAGCAATGCTCCAGGCCCTCCTGGGAGCATCAGGAAATTGTCGCAGTCAACTTTGGACACTTCTGATGATCCTGTTGCTTCTAATACAATGAAACTGGCCAAATTGACCAATTTCCCAAAGCATTTTAGTAAAGGTGTCACGTTTCAATTCAGTTCAGAAGTGAACTCAATTGTTTTCAAACCATTTGAAGTGAAACCCTGAGGACCTTTTGCTGATGAGTGCCCTGGAGTACCTAGCCAACTCCAGAGGAAATGGGCTGTTCCTGGACCGGCCAATCTCCTCCTGATTCTCCTAGTGCTCTCGATACTCTGGAGCACTCAGGAGCATAACAATTTTTTGCTGATGCGCCTCACCTCGCACCGGAGTTATTGGATGATGTTGAGAGGAGCGCTTCAAGTGATGTGTATGCTTTTGGATGCACTTGTCTTGAAGTAAGCACTCACCAGATCCCTTTCTTCAATATCACTATTGGGATCTTGTGGATGCTGAGACGTTGTTGTGCATAGATATTGTATGATTTGGAACCTTACCCCCACATTCGCTCCGATGGAGCTGTCCTCGATGCAATTCACCGTGGGGCATTACCCTTTGATTTCATGAATCATCTGGCTCCTACCTCTACATCGAAAGTCGAGACACTGTTTTGTGATCCAAATTCCCTTGTACCTCCCTTGGTGGCTGAGATACTTACCTCATGCTGGAACTTCGAGCCTGGGAAACGACCCTCTGCTCTTGAGCTTCGAGAGAAATTGGGTAATATTGGGATTGGTGGTTCAAAGTAGTAAAGTCATAGTGAGATGTGATTATTCCAGACTCACCAAGGTCTCACTCTCGATGGTTGTGCGGTTGGCCATTTTGATCCTGTACTTATTATGCTCTGGGCCTTGTCCTAGTCCTTGGTCTTCGGCATCCTGTATATCACATCCCTTGCTTTGCTTGTGCCCTGGTTGGCAGAGATGTTCAGATTCATGCTATTTTAATTTACCCTCGAATGCAACCGTTTTATGCTTTGAGGAACTCTAGCAGTTCTTGTAATCCAGTGTCAAACCCCAGTAAAGGATACATGCAATCTGGATGACGGATAGGTACTTGCGGCAACACAATTTGTTTACATTCACATGTTTTGCAGGCTAGGGGATACATTGCTTAGAATACTGTTCCGTCGCTTTCAATGTCAATAGGCGGTCCACCGGTGCTAGGTCGCTTTTGCTTCGCAATCTCACGCCCGCCCTTCCACGTTGCGCTTTCCAGAATTTGCGGTAACGATAGATTCGTTGCCCAAGTTTCTTGCGGATGGCAGCAGCAATTCGGTCCCTAATACCCCACGGCGCCACGATTTGTTGTTGTATCTGTGCAGTGTTAAAGAAATAAAGAACGTACAGGCATATAACAGTCATTGCTCGCCATTCGATAATGGCGGGTGTGAAGGTTGGAAACGAGGAATGTTGGATGAAGGATCGGGATAGAAGTTGGCTAATGAATCCTTTTTGAGTTTCAGGACTTCAAAGTCAACGAGGAGACCACCTGCGTCGAAAAATGAGTTTCACTACGCCCGAACTGAGTCGATGACGGGCTTCACCATTTCGATACTCTGGCAAACCAGTCATATCCTCAAGACCTTCAACTGTCCAACCCAACACCTTTTCGATCGGTTCAACCAAACTGTATGTTAACCATTGTGTAAGTTTATGGAAGGGAACATAGTCGTCGGCATCTTTTTCGGTGCTTTCGTTAAGCACAGCACAGTGCCAAACGTCCCCGAGAGCTACGCCAGCAAGAGTGTTGCGTACGGGCCAAATGGGTCGAAGACCATAGATGAGAGCATGGAATAAAGATGCTACGTGGATCCCTCTCTGGTTTGGTGAGAAAATTTGGGACTCTTTTTGGAGAAAATCTGTGGCACTTTAGATGAGGAAGCACGAATGGGAACGTCAAGGTTCGACAGCTGACCAACAATATTTCCGGACGTGCGTCGGGTCCGAAGTATTCGGTGTTTCGTTTCAACGCCCCTGCGAGGTTGACTAGAAGACTGGTACGGCCTTCAAGACCCGCCATGAGGTTTGAGTTTGTGTCAACTTGAAATACAGATGTGGTCTTCTCGACGGTGATTCGAGATAGTCCGGCGGCTGTCGAGGAATCAGCAAGGAAGCCACGCAGAGCGATGTCATCATACTGACCATCAACTCTGAAAGGTTGTTCGCGGTCCCCCGAAAAGTGCCCTTCCACGAAGGCGTCAAAGCTAGCAACAGCAAGCCCCTCCGATCTCGCAAACTTCTTGCCGCTGCTCTTTTCTGTGTATGTCCAGACGTTGCCAGCGCCAGCATCAAGCAAGACAGAAACCAAAATAAGGTCGACCAATCGCTTCGTTTGTTCTAGTACAGGGACCACAGTCTCCTTCCATTGTGTAAGCAGAGGTCTGACGCGTTCTCGGCCTGCGTCCAAGTGCCTCCATCGCCCGTGGGGAGGGATCTGGTAGAGCACAAACGCCCCTGTTCAAAATGAAGAGATAAGGGGAAGGCAGGAAAATCATACAGTATCGAAATTTTCCCCAAAGTCTCTCTTGTCGAGCAAGCTGATCGGATGCGTTCAAATATGCGAGCGTAGTAACATACCTTGATGATGTCAATGCAGAAATCAACGACTTGATCCTCTTTTTCAGGGAAGTACTCGAAGCAGTGGAGTTTCCCTTGAAGAGCTTTTCCATGCACGCGTGAACATCGTTCACGAATGGCAGGCAAGGTCTGGAGGTATGCGGCCTTTTGCTCGGGTGGTATAACCAGGGAAATATTCATTGTGAAAGTGGACAGATGGACGCAGTCCCAATAATGGGGACTCTCAGAGCTCTGGAACGGGAGAAGAGATGAAGAGAGCGATCACCGTGCTCGTCAGAATCGTTGGGAGTTGCCAAGGTGCTTGTCCTCGTTTGGAGCGAATGCTTATGCGTGAGAAACCTTTATTGATCGGTCGATCTCAGGAACAAAAATTTCGAGCAAAGCGTATGAATTCGTGACTTCAATGAAAAACTCTGATCAATGTATATATATGTATGCCGAAACTCCTGTTTATGAGATAGGAGAGCTGAAAAGAAGATCGGAACGTAGCACTAATTTCGTCCCTCCCGTGACTTCTCTCCCCTCGTGAAGCATGCATTCGCGACCGTGGCTAGTGCGATATCAGAAATTGTTGCGACGCGGGTGATACGTCTTGGGCTGCTTACCGATGCAATAAAGCGGATCCTCGCCGGAGCGGTGCAACTATTTCAGTCATGGTCTGCCTTTTTCCATTCGTTGGCTTAAAAAAGACAGTCTAGTGATTTGGTTTGGTGCAGTTAGTCAAGTCTGACCACAGGCTTCAACCGGCCCACAAATCCACTGACCTCTCCTCCCTCTACGCCATCTTCCCTTCCGGTAACGTACACAAGGAGAGTCCACTCGGACCAGACCCTCACCACTCGGACCATCAGCGTTAACGGAATCATCATAGTGTCGGCCAAAGTATTGTCCTTTTGAGTATCGATATAACCGAATATTTTCGTTCATCCCACACGGCACTGGCACTGGTTTCTGGTTCTGAACGAAGGATGGGACGTTGGAGACATATGGATGAAGTGCGGAATACAGTGTCCGTGCAAAGGAGGACGAAGCAATACTTAGTCGGTCTGCAGAAGTGATTCAGATTTGTTAAGAGCAACATTAGAAGCGCCAAGGACAAACCATTTAGTCTGGTTGCTTCTCCGCGCTTTGGAGGGGGTGTTTTTACGAGATTCAGCTGGCCTATGAATTTGGCAAAGGCAGCACACTCGGAATGGCTGAGGAAACCCTGAGCCCATCCATCGTCCAGCTTAGCCAAATGCCATATCGATGGCGATGAGATAGATACAGACGTGTATAATCAGGATCTGATTCGGCTCATATTCGACACAGACAAGATCTTCCTTTGGGGCGATCTCTGGCCACTCGATGGCGGTATCAAGGACAGTTGTCGTGGATCGAATTTTTGGTTTCGGCATTGCGTCTCCTATCCTTTCGAAGAAGTGCAAGAATTGGTGTCCGAGGTAAATGACCAGGAAGGCGCGCCAAGTTTCCTGAAATGGCCCCCGTGATTAAACAATCCCATTGCCACGTGATGACCGACCCCTCATTGACACAAGCACCCGCATTCGCCATGATGAACGAATCCGAGCCTTCAACGCTCAAAACGCGACTGAGGAGGGCCTCTGCTGGTGCATCTCAGGAGAGTTCTCCAGTAAATTCTATGTCTCAAACAGTAGATGAGACTGCTGCGGTGGAAATGCGAAGGGCTCGAGCTCGAGAGCGACAGCGGAGGAAACGGGAGAAGGACCGTGCTAAGAGAGCGAACTCAGGTCAACCCGGTGAAGAGGCGCTGAACAACGAAGAAGATCAGTTGGCGGAAGAGGAAAAGAAGCAGCGAATGCGTGAAAACGCGCGAGCCAGGCAAGCAAAACACCGGTTGAATGTCAAAGCTCGACGGCTAGCCGCCTTTGATCTTCCTGTTGAGTTTTCTGGGGGTCAGGGTTCGCCTCTGGTAAGTAATGTTCTTCATCTCTGGAGTCCCTAATTTTGGCTCGCAGGAAATGGTTGACAGGATCGACCCGGCACTTGTGGCCGAAGGGCAGAATATACAACCAATCCCTACACCACCTCCGTCCATGTTCGGGAACACCTTGATGCTCGCACTTACTTGCTCTCCAACACTGAAAGAAGCCTTGCTACGCTTGTATGAGATACGAAGCGAGGATCTGCCTTCATTGGAGGCAACTATCTCCGCTGCCTTCGACCATTGGAATCAAGAGGTACGAGGAAAATAGTTCCATGTAAGGTTTCAACAGCCTAACTGAGTGACGTAGCGGCTTGCTGCCACGGGAAGGATGCAACCTCCCTCGCATATCCTGCCGCCAGAGTTACATGTGCCATCACACGCTGGTTCTCCCACCAATAGACCAAACTTTGCTTCGACTAGCTCAGCACCGCCGCGGCCTCTTGTGCCCCATCCTCATCCAGTAAATCCGTTCACCGATCACCGATACTTTGATACCACAAGTATCGACGCTAGCTTGAAGCGCAATGGGCATTCTAATGGCATACCTATAATGGATTCGGTATATCCGGAAGGTACCCTTGAACCTGCTCTTGAAAGAACTCTGTTCATTTTCTCCTAGGTCCCATCGAAAACCCGCCCATTGGAATCCCACATCCTCATGTTTCCACTCCGCCACCAGTTTACGTTAGGCCTACAAAGCTCTGGGATGACCTCATCCAAGCGCGAGAAAAGGCTTTGGCTAAATATTTTGAGACCATACCGGGAGCGCTCAGCGGTCGGTCGGGTCGTTCATGACCACTTCTGTAAAGCAAACACCTTTGTTAGAGGCTCGTTGCTGGTCGGTTCAGCCTTCTGACTCGGACGACACGCTAACACCTCCTTCCATGAGACCCTAGTCTCTTTACCTTAATCCGTGGGACACTTTTTGCTGATCCTGCAATTATCACTATAATATCCCAACTCTTACCGGCCGGCCACTTCCATAGCTCCTATGGAGATCAGGATTAGAGCCTATCATTTCGACCCCTCTGCCTGGGAAAGATCCTCATAACCGAGCTCTTTATGTTTTTCGCTCATGCGTGCTCATCATCTCGCAGACCCGTTAAGCGGAGCACCTGTGGGCTGGATGAGCTATTTCTCCAGGGGCCGTCAAGAATGCATCTGCCATCCTACCAAGTGGTAATGCGCGACAGGTTTATCCTTGACGCGCAGATGTGTGAATTATGCCCCGAGCCCGAGTTTAATGGTTTCTCCCTGTATCAGGGACTCGCAGGTCATATTGAAAGTGTCCTACACCTGTCGTGAATCAGAACTTGGTTGGCGGTGGAGATAAACGAAGATGGGCATCGAGTTTTCGGAGGCTTCGACTGCTCGCAGGGAATGGATTGGAACAAGTGGATCACGAAGATTGAGACTCCCTTTTTACGTTTATACTCGCCGTATGGTTCATCTTCACGCCCTGTTTATTTACATTCTTGACGCGTGAGGGCAGCTATGTATATATAGTGATCGACACGTGACATGGCACTTGTTTACTCCAAACAACGCCAAACTATCTTCTGTCCATTTGCCACCCTCTTCAGTAGGAGAATACAGGGAAGTAGTGTGGAATAAACCCAAGGGTTTGGCTGTCTGTGAGGCCGCCGGATTATTCATGTCTTCTACCTCAGCGTCCGCAACATCCACTCACTCAAATGGTCTGCAATTGTGGGTTAATGAGACGCGTCGGCAGCTCGCACTGGCCACTCAAGAAGATGAATTCACCCACTACGTTCAGTCTAATGGTTTCAACTGGTTGGCTAGTTACGTTCAAGGTGTATTGAGTGACGAGTGAGCATCGTTCGCGATCAGTTTATTTCGGTTCTCAGCTCACGCCCGCAACGCCTAGGTCTATTGTCGAACTTGCAAAAACACCAGGCAGGCAAAAGTCCGCCAGGAAAACTCGCTCACACATGGTGGCTAAGGCGGCATCTGCCGTTAAACTCAAATCCATCAATGTGAGCCAGGCGGATGTTCCGCGACGTGATCAATATGACGTTCTCCTCGTATAGGATCAGCTTCAACGCGAGAAAGAGTTTTCAAAGCCGTTATCACCGATATATTCCCCAAAAAACTTCAACGAGCCCTCATTCGAGCGAAGAACAGTGATAGCGATGAAGATTCTGAGAACGTTGCGCCGTTGCCAGCTGTCAAACCTCACATGGCTCGCGTCAGAAGCGGCTCCCCTGCTGTTTTTGTTCCAAAACGAGGAAAAAGTGTGAACCTTGTCGCGTCGACGCCCCCCTTGTCTTCCAAGAAGACACCCCATTTACTTGGCCCCCAGTCTCCATCTCCCGCGAGGTTGCTTCCTGTACAGCAGATTCGGGTCGTGGGGAACCCCCTGCCTTTCCCAAATCCGTAACTGCGGTCCCCCGTTCATTTGATGAGAATACACGAGTCGTCTCCGAACTTGTGGAACCAAAGGCTGGTCCAGGGGGAGGCAGTCCATCAACGCCTCAGAAGAATCCACCTGTGCTACCTATGCCAGCTACAGTCGAACATAGCGCCGCAAAGCGTGAATCAAGGAAGAGCTTCGTTCCAGAGTCCCTTCCACCCACACAAGCCCCATCTGGCATCAAGTTAAGCGATTCTGACGTCCCCCCTGAGTCGCAATTCCCCACTAAGGAGCTGATATTTTCTCGCGAGTCGAATCTCCTTGCTTCGCATCCTGTACTGGATGAGACTCACACGGCCCCCTTCTCTCCGTCCCCACAAGCGGGGCCATTCCTCCTCGGAGTGGGCAAGCTTAGTGAATCAGAGCCTCAGTCGAATGCTCCTTCAACCGTTGACGCCTTCAGCGTAGATTCACAGAGAGAGTCGGAGCAGCAACTCTCTGTGATCCCTGCCTCTACGACCCATTCAGATATTATCGTCCCCACTAAGGAAGACAGTTCACCTTCGGACTCAACCAAATTTGGAAGGGGCTCCTGGATAGTTCGCGCTATGGGAGATTCTACGAAGACAAAGCCAACGCCAATGCGGTCGAATTCAAATCTTGCTTCAATGTCCACTTCAAAAGCTGCGGAAAGGGACACCAGTACCCGCAGTTCGGCACCCGCCATTACACCTCCGAAGGAGCAACGTGAAAACTTCCCGAGTGTGAAAAGGAAGTCAGATGACATTGGGGAAGATGGGTTATTGAGTCGTCCAAGCAAAGTCCAGAAGGTTCAATCAGAAGACGTTCCCCGCGGTAATCCCGTTGGACTTTCTGGGTCCCACGACATTTCAACCTTCAATGGCCAGCCAGTTGCGGGTCCTTCTCGTTTGTCGGCTGCGCCCATCCCCATGGAAGCTGCCCCAGTGCCAAAGTGCGGACTTGACAAGCTCCGCGAAATGCTGCACGGCATACAGCAGCCACATCGTTCCAACGCTCCCTTAAGGGCTTCATCCATACATCACACGAGCTCAAACGTGCCCCAGGCCAACACCCGAACATTCAGCCTCAGTGAGCTTGTTGGGGATCCTGACCGGAGTGAGGCGAATGGAAGTGATGATCACGATGTGTCTGATGATGAGAGCGCCCCTAGTAGCGATAAGGAAACATCGCTCGAAACTGGAAACGATGAGCGTGTAGCCGCTCCAGATAACAGAGAGACAGATGATGTGAGCTCTGATGTTGAGCTTGAGAACGTCCAGACCGAGGACGATGCCGTCTTGATCAATCCCGTTGTTAGCTACACGCCTCCTGATTCTCCCCCGGCGACTCGCTCCAATGACAGCATCATTAGTCAGGCTTATTCCATCCCTGGGGCTGGGTCTTTAATGTCCACTGCGTCCGAAAGTCGTAACTTCAGGTCAACATCTTCGATAAAGCTCGTAAGCGCTAACCAGCCGTCAAACGCTCCACCATCGCCTTCCCCACCTCCCCCCGCGGCCTCCCCGCCCGGTTCATCTATGCTTTCGGCAGCCCTGGGTACCCTTTCCTCCATGATAACGGTACCTGCTCAATTCTTCTCATCAGCACCCAAGGCGCCAACATCTAGCCCACTCAGATCGCAACCTACCACAAACTTTCTAAAGCATAATCCTTTTGCGCCCTCACCCGAACCTGGACTCGCCTCGTCCGTCGACTTGGCAATCAATCCTTTCCTCGTGTCGCCGACCCGGCCCACAGAGGATTTCCATCAGTCTTCACAGCCGCGCAGATCCCGGACACCCCCTCGAACCCAAGTTGAGTCGCAGTCAACAGTCTTCTCTCAGGCTAGTGGTGCTAGCTGGTTCGCACCATCAAGAACTGCGTCCCATGTGTCCTTAAATTATGAAACTGATATCACGGAGTCGCAAAGTGCTGAGTCGCAAAACGTTGCGGTGCAACATGACACCCAGGCACCCTTTAAGACAGCGACGGCACTATCAGAGCAAGATCTGGCTTTGCAACAAGATATGACGACAGCAGCAGTTCCGAGCGCTGCGGTACCCCAGCCACTGAAGGGCTCAGTATGTCTGCGCATAGATTTATTGGCAATGGGCCTCACTAATACCTCGCAGCAGGATTTACAAAGGCTCGTTGTTGTTATTCCGAGCTCCAAGTGCGTGTGGTTAGAATGTCGATTAGATCCACACTCATTCTCATTTTAGTCCCCGCCCACACTCGGTTGCTGAGAAACCTACGGGCCCCAAGAAGGTTCAGAGTCAGAAGCAGATGAAAAAAATGGTTCATTTTCCTGCCTAGAAATTGCGCTCTTGCTCGCTCGGCTCATATCAGACCGTTTTTAGGATGTCAACAAGAGCTCTAAGACTATCCAGGAGGACGCTCAGAAAGCAACCTTTAATGTGCCGTCAAGTTCCAAACAGAAGCAGCCCCAACTTGAACCTGACGCAGCCGAGAAGCGCAAGCGAGACAAGGAGAAAGAAGAAATCAATGCGCCCATTCGCAAGGCTGTGGTACGTACAGTTTCAATTCAGAACACTTGCTGCTCAGGCTGGCCACAGGCTGATACGGAGGCTTTGAATAACCTCAAGAAACGTAAACTTGATGCAGAGCCCAAGGCAAAGGAAAGGTTTAAGCCTGTACCGAAAGCGCTTCATACCTTCAAGCAACCCACATCCCATACCCTTGCTCAACATTCTCAGCCGCAGCTAGGTCACAGTCGTACACAGTCCCAACCCCGCGCCATGCCCAACAAACCAACGCAGAAGCCTCAACAAAATGTTTCATCTTCCACACTCAAAGGATCGTCTGAGCCTCCCCGACCCGGTATCTTGACGAAGACAGCTCTGGCTATGACCAGCGCTGGTGCCAGCACATCGACGTTCCCAGTTGTCAAGCCTTCTCTTGATAGTCTGAAACAGCAGGCATCTCTCGAGGCGCTTATGGCACAGGAACGCGCCAAAGATTTGCAGGACCAGATTGAGAGCGAGAATATAGTTTTAGCCGATATTCAGAGCGAGTGAGTTGATCAGCTGAAATTTCCTCTTCCCCTGTCACTAACGGTAACGTTCAGGTATGAATTCTCGGATGAAGAGGGACCGCCGCGCCATGTTAATCATCCTAAATGGACCTATGGAGACCTGCTAGACAATGACCTCAAAGCCCAAGGGAGATTGGACCCGGATGGGATTTTTGGATCAATGGGCCCATTGCATATGGAGCAGGTGTTCAAACCCTCGAGGCCCAACAAGTTCCGTCAACGTACCAGCTCGGCGAACTGGAATTCAGGTGACGGATTGACTCAGCAAGAGATTGTTAATTATCGAATCAGGATGGGTTATGATAAACCCGAAAGGAGGTAATGAACCTTGGATGCATTCTGTTTGTTTTACACATACACATCATAATGTACAGCACACAGGTCAATGTTGAAGGATAGACCATTTATTGCTATTTTCGAAATTATAGTCAAATTCAGTAGTTCAAAAATCGTGCTTCTCTACGATTGGACCAGGAGTCTGACTTCCAGCATGCAACAATAGCCCCAACATGATGCCGCAACTTCCAACATCGTAGCACAGGATGCGTTTGAAGTCTTGGTATGGACATAACATAAGCCGTGACACTCGCTCATAATGCGTTCTCCGTCGATTTCTTTGATGACGTCGTATGATGATTGACCAAATCGACCGCGTTTGTTACCGCGACTGAATTAGTGCCATATCAAAACCCCGCTTACCGAAGCATTTATTAGCATTTCTGATCCCTCAGAGTATGTCGTTGAAAACCGTCATCATTGGTGGCCATGGAAAGGTCAACACCTCCATCTCGTCTTGTCTCGCATTGGTCATCTCAATTGTGCATTCTATAGGTGGCACTACGCCTGGGACGTTTGCTGGCCGGAGCGGGACATTCTGTTGTATCTCTCATCCGCGACGAATCTCAGAGTGCTGATATCTTGGAAACTGGCGCCACGCCTTTGACTATCTCGCTGGAGGAATCTGACCCTTCAGATCTCGCTAAAGTCTTCAATGGCGTCGATGTTGTGTACTTCTCCGCTGGTGCTGGTGGAAAGGTTAGCTAGCTCCGGCATTCAAAGAGCGTATGTTGAGAACCGTGCTGACCGTCCCTCGAGGGAGGAGCCGAAAGGACCAAGAAAGTTGACTACGAGGGTGCCCTTAAAGTCTTCGACGCCATAGAGAAAGTTGAGGAAAACCCGCCCAAATTGATTCTTGTTTCTGGCGTCGACGTCCGCGATCCAGACAGGATCCCGCACACTACGTATGCAAGGAAAAAAACACTGACCCGGATGATATCTCCTCACCCTGTCCACTCCGTAGAGTGAGCAAGACAAAGAAGTATCCAAAAGAATACGAGCTCGGATCCCTGACTGGATGCATTGGAAATATGAAGCCGACAAGAACCTCGCCGCCCGGACCAAATTCAACTGGTTCATCCTCCGTCCTGGTGGACTCGCGGACTCGCCAGGCACAGGGAAGGCTGATATTGGAATTACTCATATCTCTCAGCTCATACCGGTTCGTTAACACGAGGGTTGTGGGAATATCTCACTCACAACTTTGATAGCGTGATGACGTTGCACAGGCTTTGTTCTTGTTAGCGAACAGGAAGGATATCTATGGCCTGTCTCTTGATATCGTCGGTGGAGATACCCCTATTCAGGAGGGTCTAGATGCTGCTATTGCTAAAAGGGTGAAGGCCTTGGACGTTTCCGTCTGATTCAACCCCACTCTTGGTAGCATCGCATATGTTCTGTCGTGTGTGTACATTCATTCTGTATGAAGTTAGAAAGTCCTGTCGTCTACCTACAATTGCGAAACGGTGAATTAAGCTTTTCCCGAAGGCGAGATGTGAGGTTCTAATTACTGAGCACGCTATCGGATATCAAAAATCATGAAGTTGCGGTCACCCTACACATGGTTTGAATGAATTTTGTGTTGCGAGGTATAGCTTTAGCAATGACTGAGATTCGGGGCAGGGAACCAACCGGGACGGGGTCTTAGCTCAGTGGTAGAGCGCTCGCTTTGCACTTCTGGAAAGTGCGAGAGGTCTGGAGTTCGATCCTCCAAGTCTCCATGTTTTGTCCTCACAGCTTTATATAGTTGCCTTTCATACGGAATTCGGCTCCCGGCACAAAGCCGGATGTTCTCACTGAATTTCTCCTGTGAATAGTGTCTAGATATTACCCGATACCCAGTCCTTGTCGAATTCATCTTCTGGTGGAACTCCCCTGCAAGCAGGCCGGGTGGTCCCCCCGTTCCATGATTTTCTGTCCCACCGGATTCCGCCCTTTTCTACCCGACCAATTTTTGGCTTCCAAACCAATTAAATAAGTGGAAACACATTGGCAACTCCGAACTTGAGGTGGCAGAAATTAGTTACGAGGTGTTTACTTGTTGGACCCAGACCTGAACCCGCTGTAACGTATAGGGTATTAAAGAACATAGGCACCTAAATCAGTCGCAGGATCACATTTGCAAAGGGCATCCTTACATATCCTTGGCTGATTTGGCGGATGGGGATCAATTCCGTGTTCAATCCTCAGGAGGACTGGTCCGTGATCGTTACGCGATACTACGTAGGCGATCATCAGGTTCGCGATCGATCCGAACTTCTCCACTGATTTGATGCAGGAGGCATTGAGACATAGGCCCAAGTTCAGGTTCTAGCGCACCCCCCCCCCCCCAACTATATATATCTCACCCTATAATCAAGAAAATCTCACCGGAAACGGTCTTTCTGGATTCGGGTCAGTGGTTCAATGCCACTGGCACCATCGGGCTGATCTCTTCCAGAATCGTCGATCCAGTTGAAACATGGAGACGTCGGTACCATGCCTTGAGCACTTGGGGGGACATCAGCGACTCCGTCGTAGTATGCCTGTGCGGTCGGATGTACTGGATGCCCCTCACTCGGGCAACACTCGGGTACTCCGGCAGACGCAGCACAACAACTGATTTTTTTCCGGTTCGGACTTCTTTCTCCTCAGTCACGTGACCCGTTCACGGTTATTTAAACCTGAAAAAATTTCTCATCTTGGACGTTTTCCGACAACAATCGTCCGGTAATTATAACTTCCTCGCTTGCTTGACATCACTAGCACTGGTTGTCCAAGCGATTTGTTGAGCGAGGTTTCTGGAGCTGGAGGAAGACTAAGAGTAGGTCCGCTTTTAGCTCCTTTGTGTTAGTCCTTCAGAGGGCTATGATGCATGTTTGGAATAGCGGGACCCACATCAACTTTTTTTTTTTTTTTTTTACGCATTGTCAGAGGGTTGGTTTCAAAATGTGATATGTTGTATCTGTACTAGCCTTGTCCTTGAGGGAGGACTGCCGCTCCGATTCGATAGTAGGCGTAGATATGACCGTGTGGCCTACAAAAAGGTCCTGCCTTGTAAAAACCCTTTCCGGATCATCAAGTATATGATGTGGAGAGTGACGGCAAGCACCTTTCCCAGAATCAATGCTGACCAGAGTTGCACATCGCTGAGCGCTGCAACAAGTGTCTTCAGTTCGGGACCTGGGCGTGCTCAGGGGCTCTATACATCACTTCCGTGCAACTACGCGACTATTTTCACTTTCAGTAAAAAAAAAAAAAAAATCGGTGGCTCCCCCTTTCTTGCGCGGGACGTATATAATTGCATCGATTCTCGCTATATAAAAGAAAAAATCTCCTGTCAAGCGTTCGTACACAGGGCTTTCACATTTGACAACCACTGTGTGGTCAATGCCGTAGCTAGGTCATAGGCATAGGAAAAAGAAGCATACGAGCACCCTCACTTTAACGTTCGCCCTCCACAAACTACCAGGGAGAATTCCTTTTTTTTTTTTTCACGTTGGAAGTGCAAAACACCCCAGAAAGATCCCTGGTGCGGCACTACGTTCGTTCCAACAGACAACTCACCATTCCCACTAATCAACTGAGCCTCAATTAGCGGGAACGCAAAGTGACCTACCAGCTCCAGGGTGAGTTATAATTTTTATGACATGCACTACAAACTTAGCGTGCCAGCCTTTCTTGCCCGCCGGCCCCCCCCTTCTCACCGACCAATGGCTGGGCACGGAGCAGAATCCCTCCGCGGCGATTTTCGAAATATTGTTGGAAAAAAAAAAATTTACGGGAAGATCATATTCCGCATTGGATCTGCATACATACATACATACATACATACGGTTCCATTCGTTGGGGTCCCTGGTCATCGCATCATACTACTCTCTACTGGTGTGTGTGTGTGCCTTGCATGGTCGCGTTCCAGTGGCTACACAAGAACTCAAGGAGCAACTGTGCGCATGCGCAAGTTGCCGCAATGAGCGCCCAAGTGCCAGCTAAGGCTTCAATCACAGCATCTACGTCGGAACACATGCACACCCGCATCCGGATAATTGAGCAGCTCCTGCGTCATCTTGTGCTGTGAAGGTACTGCGCAGTGCGTACCACCCCTGTTCAGCGTTCTGGCACTTGATTTTGTTACACAAACTCATTGTTTGAGATGTTGATTCCCCCCGTGCGCGCGCGCGCGCGCGTATCTCAAGAACTCGATGGATCGACAGGTTCCATCTTGCTAGCCTGCTAGTCTGATTGGTGCTCCGGCCAGTTCTTTCTTGGTTCTGAATTACTATGGTTATTTTCGAGCGAAAAAAAAAATGGTTGCAGTCCCGGCCCGGGCCCTATCACCCCTCAATTGGTCACAATGACGTCGATGATAATAGCCCAATTGCTAGTTATACCGCGCACGGCCGCTCCTCATCGGTCCGTCACCGACCCCTGTTCTCCGCGCAGCGATACGCCCTCATAGTATGTGAAAAGTGTTTTTACGTTTAACCCCATGAGCTTGAGCTTAGTGGGTAATCAGGACAAATCAATCGTTCATTTGCATTTGCGCGAGGCACAAATGGACCTCGCTTGTACGCGTGATGAGGCGGTCATTAACCGCATGCTTTTTGTGCTGCAAAGCTAACATTCAGAAAGGGCACACCGAAATAATTTCTTCATCGTGTACCTTGAAATTTTTGGGACGTCAATCAAGTTAGCCTACATGTTAAGTACTAATGTTGGTGGTGTGGCCTATGTGTTTACTAATGTAGGATGCATGCAAAGGAAACCGATTCTTGTCCGTGTCCACCTTTCCAACGGATTAGTGTTCCTCCTCGGCCACTCACCCCCGTGAGGGTAACACGATTATGAATGTTACATCTCGCATCTGTGGTACCGTCCTTACCGACAACATTGAGCTCTCGCTAAACGAGACCTGGTCATCAGAGGAATATTTGCCGATCTAAGATTCGGGGGGATTTGTCAACCAACTTGACGATGGTGCATCCTTTCGGTTACTCCACCTGACACACACGTACACGAGGACAACAACCCCCCCCCTGAATTTTAGGGTTTAATGGCTGCAATCCGATGATCTTCGTAAAAACTCGGGATCGCCAGGGTCATGGGATTCACTCAAGAGAGGGCACACTTTAACCCGATCGAGTTCGAGGTGGATCGAGAACTGATAAGAATAGGGGCCATCGAAATTGCCTGCACCTAATCTGGACAATAAACTGACACTTTAGCTAAATTCGAAAACAAGCCGATCTTTAGATCATTCCGGAAATCTATCTTGTCCGCCCTCTGCGTTTACATGCAGAGCTAATCATCGAATTTAGTTGTTCGGCTTGGGAGATAGTATGTATGGATGTATGTATCCTCACAATTCCCAAACTAAGAATTATACCAAAAGTGGAAAATGCCTCCCTGCTTTTGCGGCTGGAGGACCCTGCATGGGCGCTTGTCTTTGTGCTTTTGCTTGCACAAAACCTTTGTTTTCTGAGCGTTGATTCGATGATTATACTAGTCGGATCACTAGCCAGGGGTGGCTGACTCTAGATCCCGCTTTACAACATTTCTCCCTAATTTTTTAGGCTCTCCGTTATAGTTATAGTCTCTCGCTTTAGAAGAGGGGCCTAGTGATAGTCTTTTATAAACGTTCGATCCAATGGAAAATATGGGAAACCATGATATAAACCGGCGCGCTAATCTTGGAGCTCTTCACAATAAGGGAATGCAGTGTTTTTGCGTGAGGGGCAGTATCGGGACGACATCAATAATGCCGCTGACAAGCGCGCGCCATCGCCGAAGCTAGGAGCCGGGGAGCTGTTCGTTACTCCTCGATCTGGGTCCTCTCGCACGCAATTAATTGATCTTCCGCTTATGCCATTTGTCACCAGAATAATACCAGTTATATAGGCTATTCACAATATGTGTATCGGGCGCGCGTAACAGCGGAAGCACTGCTGATTCTTCACTGCAATGCCTGTTGTGGGATTCCGCGCCCCTACATGAAGACTGCTGGTGGCACTGGTGATGATATTTCAAATAAGCTCCAGCCGCTGGTGTCTTTTTATGTCTGGGGTTGAGCGCTTTTCGTATGCGGCGCCACTTGAAACTCAAATAGCCTTTGGATATATATATATATCCACAATTTCAAATTCGAACTTCGGTAGTTGCCTCGATGTAAATACAATTATACATGCCCGCACCGTTGTCTCCAACATTTCCTTGTTGGTGGCTGGGAACCTCAGTGCCTATTATATTAATTTCTCCTGACCGGCTCAGGTAGGCAAGATCCCATCAGGCTTATTTATTCCTGATGTTCATTTCGAACTTGAGGGAAATGATGATAAATCCCCGAGGGGGGGGGAAAAGGAAAATGTCATACTATTACCCATCCGGCGTTCCCTCGTTTCAAACTCTGGTCTTGTTACCGTTGATAGGAGGCTCTCAACCCTGGTACGGTTACCTTTGATGGTCTAGCGTCTTTGCCATGGGTAATGGATGTCCCCGCGATGTCCCTCAGGCTTGGGGGACTCTAGGATTATGGAAGCTGTTCCAAACGGGATTTTTTCGGGATTCTCCCCTGGCTACGGAAGTGGGGATTTTATAGTTAGCCTCCCAGTCCGCTCCACCATAGAGGGAGGAAGAAGTACTCCCCAATCTGGCCCCCCACCACCCTTTCCATCGGATTCTGTTCTACAATGTCCTGGGATACACGATCCATAGGCTCAACCAGCGATGAGTATCTCAGCATCACGTCAGACACATCATCCTTCTCTACCCCTTCCTCTCCGACAAGTGAGAAGACCGAGTGGTTCGAGAGGAGTGATGAAGGAAGAATCTTATCCACTGGTAGCGCGGATGTTATCGACTTTGCTGTACATAAACTTCCCCCATTCCCGATCCCGCAGTTCCTTCGCAGGTGGACGATGCCGATGTTAGTACTCCGGATAAGTGGGTTCGTCGCGAACCCAGCATGATTCGACTTATGGGGAAACATCCATTCAACTCCGAAGCCCCACTCGACAAACTCTTCGCTGCTGGTTTCCTCACTCCCACGTCCCTCTTTTACGTACGCAATCATGGTGCCGTCCCTTACGTGGACGCCGATCGAGCCACGAATTGGAGATTGCGTATTTACGGATTGGTCGAACGTGAAGCGGAGTTCTCGATCGACGATCTAAAGGGTATGTTTCAAGTCGTCACTCTCCCCGTCACCTTGGCTTGCGCTGGAAACAGACGAAAAGAGCAAAACGTCGTCAAAAAGAGCGTTGGGTTCAACTGGGGTCCAGCGGGCGTTTCCACTGCGCTCTTCACAGGTGTTTACACTCGCCGACGTACTCAACTACGTGCGCCCCTTCGTCCAACTTTGGCAAAACATCATGTCGTATTCGAAGGAGCCGATACGGATTTGCCCAATGGACCTTATGGAACGTCTCAGACACTGAGAGATGCTGCGAACGTTGAGAAAGGGATGATGATCGTGTGGGGAATGAATGGGAAAGCGTTAGCACCTGACCATGGGTTCCCCTGAGGATGATCGTTCCGGGTCAGATCGGGGGGAGGTCGGTCAAATGGTTGACGAGCATCGAGGTTAGCGATAGAGAGTCTCAGCATCACGTAGGTTTTGCTTCATTTTCCATCGCGAGAATTTAGTTGAGTTTACGTCTTCACTACACTACACTACTACTACAGCTTCACTTCTTTGATAATAGGATACTACCCGCACAAGTGACTACCCAACAAGCCCGTGATGAAAAACACTGGTGGTACAATAGGAATTACCTTATCAACGATCTCAACGTCAACAGCGCTATAGCACAGCCCAGTCACGACGAAATAGTGGAACTCTCGAAGCCGACGAGAGCATCGTACGATATCAGAGGGTACGCTTACTCTGGAGGAGGGCGGGGAGTCATACGAGTGGAGATCTCGCTGGATCATGGTGACTCGTGGAAGATCAGTGACATGTATGTAAAATGAATCACTGTCCCGACCCCATTTAACAACCCGGCCAAGTGGGCCTACTGACAAAAAACGACGATCTTTTTTTTTTTTGTTTTTTGTTTTTTGTTTTCAGAGTGTATCCAGAGGATCTGTACCGAACGGTGGCACTTGAGAGCAAGTTTTACGGAACGCTGGACTTGACTGAGCGTGACACTAGTTTGTGAGTCGTTGCCCGCCGTTCAAAGTTCTTCTTTCCCTGAAATACTATCTATATATTCTTCCGGTTTTGGAATAATTAATATCGAAGCTGCTGGTGCTTCTGGAAGTATACTGCATCCATCGAGGAGCTATCGAAGAGTGATGTGATAATGGTCAGGGCCATGGACGAAAGTCTTGGAATTCAACCACAGGATATGTATTGGACGTAAGTCTCCTTTTCCCCCGCGCGCACCGAAGCCCCAGAACTCATAGTCGTTTCGCAGTGCCACCGGAATGATGAAGTAAGTTTTTCCTTGTTGTCGTCATCATTTGGGGGAGGGGGGGGGGGTTCTTTCGCAAGCCGAGGCATGATTTTTTTTTTTTTACTTAGCAACTGGTGGTTCCGTGTTGCTGTCCACCACGAGGTCAAGGACGGCGCAAATATTTTACGCTTTGAGCATCCAACGTTAGCTGGTGTAGCCCCTGGTGGATGGATGGAGGTAAGTGTGTGAATCGTTATTTTGTTTTTTTTCAGAGTTAAACTAACTCCGGTTCCACATCGTAGCGAACTAAAAATGCTGGCTTGAATCCTTTAATACCAGAATTTGGTGCTCCTAAAGCTAAAGAGCAAAATAACCACGACGCTGTTTCTCATCGGCCTCAATCTCTGGAAAGGCGCGAACAGGTTGCTAGCATGACTAACTCCGAAGCGACCCGGGTTATTCCAATGGATGAACGCCTCTCACTGACTATAGGCGAAAAAAGGAAATCCGTCTTTAGTATCGTGGATGGGAACGTTTACGATGGCATGGGTTTCTCCGAGGAGCATCCGGGAGGTGCAGACTCGATTCGGTTAGCCTCAGGCTCAGGCGAGGCAGATGCTACGGAAGATTTCGTTGTTATTCACTCCGACGATGCGAGAACCAAGTTGAGAAAGGTTTGTTTATAGTAAAAATGGATGTTTCGACGCTGACTGTAAGTTGGACTGACTCACTTTTTGTGTTTAGTTCCACATTGGGAAGCTTCAAGATAATGCTGCCACTGAACAACTACTAGGAGACGACACTGGCGTAGTACCCGACGACCCCTCGTCCGTATTCTTGGATCGACTAAAATGGAAGATAGCCTCCCGGGCCCTTGTCAAAATTACCAGTGTCCCACACAATTCCTTCATCTACCGCTTTGCGCTCGAATTACCAGAGCAACCCTTGGGATTGCCTGTCGCCAGCCAGCAGACCGTGTTTGCTCGATTGCAAGGGAAGACGACAACTGGCCGGAGATGGTCCAACGAGCGTACACTCCCGCCGTCTCACAACTGGGCGAACATCATGGTCGTATTGATTTACTGGTCAAGTTAGGTCCTCCTTCCTTCCCGGAATAGCTTGAAGAAGATGCGAAGCTGACTCCCACCGATATTAAGGCTATACCACCTGTGTGCTGCGTTCCCGCTCGGTGGGAAATTGACAGTCAGTTCCTATGAGCTTGTTGTTGTTGGCGATACCGTAGAGCTCAAAGGGCCTCTCGGTTCTTCAATCGTCTGGGGAGGCAAAGGCAATGTGATTTATGGAAAGGTGCTATCCCTCGAGGAAGACGAGATCTGGGCCGGGGCCTCATCCACGGGGGAAGTGGAATCACTCCTATTCTTCAAGTCCTTTGCAACGTTCTTCACGACAAAGAAGATTTCGGAGACGCATCTTTACCTCCTCGACGCAAACAAAATGTAGTTGGGTATATATTGTGGAGTCGAGAAGAGCTTGACACGTTGTACGAACAATACAGCGATAAATCCCAAGCTCAGGATACCAGTATCACCAAGGGGACGACTAAAGATAACGCCATACGCCTAGCTAGTCGACCACCGCCCGTCGAATGGGCTTCCGGTCCTCCAACGGATGATGCGATGGTATTTGTGTTATGCGGGCCTAATGGTATGATAAAAATGATGCGGTGAACTTGCCTGGGTGTTGGAAAGACTTGTATATATGGGATGTCTCCAAAGTGCTTTGTTGTGTTTTAGTTTTTGTTCTGTTTGGAAAAATTCGGGGCAGGTGCAAGTAGCACGGAGAGGTACTACTAGGGGGGCCAGACTCATCAGATGAACAAACAGATGTAAATAGCTGTCCTGTAGTTCCAACTTCTCCCATGTCTATCTAATGTTACAAAAGCAAAAGTCATAGAGGCTCATGCATGGAGCTAGTCCTGCCTAAACCACCCATGATCGATGATCTTGTGTTTCCATTTCCAATGCCACTCACTCTTTTACATAAGGTTAAAGCCGAAACAAAAAAAAAGTTAGTCATTGGATCAGCACGGACTCCAATTGGGGTCTATCCTTATCGATTCTTTCACAGTTTCACTGTATATGCCGATCGCAGCCAGAACTCCTTAAAAAGTCAAGTTACTTTCAGAGCGAAAATGGCGATCGTTGTCGCGCATTACCGGCCCACAATAGCCTCAATCAGTCAATGAATTAATTCGACGATAATGGCCGGCCTCGTTCTGGATAAGTGCGTGCCTTGATCCCCCCCCCACACACACACACCATGTGACCGCTTCAATTAATCATATCGCTCCGTCACCGACCGACCCCTCTGCCCTATTAGTCTCTGCGCAAGTTGACGTTGGCGGCCTCCTGTCCTGAAAAGTGTTCCTAAGTTTGCCCCCCCCCCCCCCCCATGACCCCAAATTCGCTCATATACGTTATGTTCCTAAAAACAAAAAGGGGGAGTGGCTGCTTACTAATGTAAGAATCTTACCGATAATTGAATAAATCCACACACCGTTTGGGATGGAAGGGCCGGATCGGAAAACCGTCAACACAGCCCACGCCACCACGTCCTCGGCTACACATCATGTCCCCGTGGGCGTAACACGGTTATGCATGACATTGCCATTCATAGACATTGGGGTTCGAGGGTTGTCCCCCCCCTTGCCAACAAAAGATTGGCTTCCTTTTCGGCTGCGCCGCACCAAGGATTCCGAATTCATTACTTAAGCCGATCACGAAACAGGGCCCTGAATGAAAGGATTATGCAATTCAATTACAAAAAACCGGGATCGCCAGAAGTGATGAAATTCATCCAAAGTGTCATGCTCACCTGATCATCCCGACTTGGAGAGATGGGAACTACAGAATGGGTCAAAGAGCGGAATCCAACAAAGCAGTCCACTGACAGAAACAACAGCAACTATCCCCTGGGTAGTAAGAATCGCCGGGGCTCTAATCACTTGCCTTGTTCTCGTGTCCCTCTGTTGGTGTGGTGTTGAATGAATTGTCACCCGTCGACTCGATAGGACGGATGCAAGACGTCTGAGATCAATAGGGATGAATGAACGCCACTAGCTGGCGACCGCTTACGCTCGCATTGGCATGCAAGTAGCCAGCTGAATAATATTAATGTTCGGGATTCCGGAAGGGGACTAGCTCGGTGCATTATGTAACGGAGAGGATCAAGATGGTGTATATGTAAGCGCATTTGAATTCTGTCGGAAGGGGCTGAATTCCAAACCCGCCCGATGGATGAACTATACTTATGCTTATGTTAGAATAGGTCAACCGCAAGATTTATGTAGCTAGTTTTGCCGGAGCAGAGCATCAGTGGAATTTCAACGGAGCCACATGAAGATCATTGGCTGAGTGAGTAATTTAAGCAACTAGATATTACATAATGGGGTGCGTTCCTCACTGTAATTCCCGCGCGGGATTCCGGTCGGACTGAGCAAGCATCGAAGAAAAAAAAAAACGGACGCCCGATTTAGATCAATAGCCTCACCATTTATTATTTATTTATTATTTGCTATGTTTGGATGGATCGCATGATCTTCTTCCAATTTATCCAAATGGGGCGGGCGGAACTGTCAGGTGTAATAGGCGCTTAATACTATTATTTCTCACGCCGCCAATAAAGTCGCCGCCGATAAAGCAAATATGTAGCCTTCAAATTCAATTCACCGAGATGTCAATGGCACGCTTTTGTCTTCGTTCGTCTCCAACAAGTTTCCTGGCAGAACATTCATATTTCTTTTTGGTCGGCCCGGGAATCTTGGTTCCAGATGGTCATCTAACTCCGGGCTCGATTGCCCATAACCGAAAAGGCTGATAAACTCTGGAGAAAATGGAAAAATGTCATCAACCGGGTCTTTCACCGTCCTTCGATTCCTGTTATAGATTCCTTAGCTACTCTATCGTTCCGTATGGGGAAAGGGAAAGGTACTGTCTCCGAAGGAGTATTGGATGAAGCCCAGTTATGGAATCAAAAATTCTTATAGTTAGCCGACTAGCCAGTTTCCCATCCAGAGGGTTGTTTTCAGGGAGACCTACTTCACAACTTGACCCACCACCTTTCAGCTCTCTCAGATTCTTTACGAGTTCTACATCATGCCAATGTCCTTGGACACCCGATCTATAAGCTCAACCTCAACGAGCGACGAGTATCTCAGCATTACGTCGGATACTCCATCGTCCTACAATCCTTCCTCTCCAACAAGTGAGTGGTCAGAGCGTGATGGAGAAACCTTGGAAGTACCCGCTACTAGTAGTAGTAGTAGTAGTAGTAGCGCTACTAGTGCCACCGGCGATGTTACTACTATCGCTATCGACTTTGCCGCGCATAAACGTCTTCCCCCCATCCCCGACCCCGCAGTTCCTTCGCAGGTGGACGAAGCCGATGTCAACACCCCGGACAAGTGGATTCGTCGCCACCCTAGCATGGTTCGACACACGGGGAAACATCCATTCAACTCTGAAGCCCCATTCGACAAACTCTTCGCTGCTGGTTTCCTCACTCCCACCTCCCTCTTTTACGTACGAAATCATGGTGCTGTACCCTACGTAGACGCCGACCGTGCCGCGAATTGGAGGTTACGTATTCATGGATTGGTCGAGCGTGAAGTGGAGTTTTCGATCGACGATCTAAAAGAAAAATTTCAGGTCGTGACGCTCCCCGTCACTCTAGCTTGTGCAGGAAACAGACGGAAAGAGCAGAACGTCGTTCAGAAGACCCTTGGATTTAACTGGGGCCCAGCGGTCCTCTCCACTGCACTCTTCACGGGCGTTTACCTCGCCGACGTCCTCAAATACGTACGCCCCTTTCGTCCAATGACAAACAAGCATGTCATATTTGAAGGTGCCGATACGGATTTGCCCAATGGACCTTATGGAACGTCTCAGACGTTGAGAGAGGCTTCTGACATTGAGAAGGGTATAATGATCGTTTGGGGAATGAACGGTAAAGCGTTGTCACCCGACCATGGGTTCCCCTTGAGGACGATCACTCCGGGTCGGGTTGGGGGAAGGTCGGTCAAATGGCTGACGAGCATCGAGGTTAGCGACACAGAATCTCAGCATCACGTAAGTTTCCTTTCATTTTGAATTAGGTAGATCTAGCCTTTTTTACTTACTTACTTTCTCTACAATATCTCACAACTACAACTACAGCTTCACTTCTTCGACAATAGGGTATTGCCAACACAAGTGACTGCCCAACAAGCCCGCGACGAAAAGCACTGGTGGTACAATAAGAATTCCCTTCTCAACGATCTCAACGTTAACAGCGCTATAGCACACCCCAGTCACGGTGAAATAGTGCAACTCTCGAAGCTGCTGTCATTGCAGACAGTGGCATCGTACGATATCAGAGGGTATGCTTACTCTGGAGGTGGTCGGAGAGTCACACGAGTGGAGATCTCGCTGGACCAAGGTAGCTCGTGGAAGATCAGCGACATGTAAATGAATATAGTTCCCCCCCATTTGACACCAAGTGGCCCTACTTACTGATATGACGTACAATTTCAATTTCTTTTCAGAGTGTATCCAGAGGATCTGTACCGGATGGTAGCATTTGAGAGCAAGTTTTACGGAACGCTGGACTTGACCGAACGTGAAACTAGTTTGTAAGTGAATAAGTTCGCGTCGACGTTCTTTTTTTTCTATCTCTTTTTCTCAAAAATAATAATAATGATTTCTCTTCCGGTCTTTGGTTAGTTGCTGGTGTTTCTGGAAATATACTGCATCCATCGAGGAGCTATCGAAGAGCGATGCGATAATCGTCAGGGCCATGGACGAAGGTCTTGGAATTCAACCACAGGATATGTATTGGACGTAAGTGGGGGATTTTTTTTTTTCCTTGCGCACCGAACCCAAGACTCATGGTCACTTCCGCAAGTGCTTCCGGACTGATGAAGTAAGCCCCTTCTTGTCACCTTTTTTTTTTCCCCCAACCCGAAGCATCATTTCAGCAACTGGTGGTTCCGCATTGCTATCCACCACGAGGTCAAGGACGATGTTGATATTTTGCGTTTTGAGCATCCAACGTTACCCGGCGTAACTCCTGGTGGATGGATGGAGGCAAGTGTTGAATCATTGTTCTTCATCGCGAATCTTCCCCCCCCCCCAAGAAGAACTCCCAAGGTTCTCACACTTTCATAGCGAATCAAAAATGCTGGCTTGAATCCTTTAAGACCAGAGTTTGGTGCTCCCAAACAGGGAAATAACCACGACGCCGTTTCTCGTCGACCTCTACAAGAGAAGTGCGAACCGGCCAGCATGACTGACCCCGAAGTTAACCGAGTCATTTCAATGGCTGAATATCTCTCGTTGACCAAGGGTGAAGGAAAAAGCCCTGTTCGTCGTGGATGGGAATGTCTACGATGGCACGAATTTCCTTGAGGAGCATCCAGGAGGTGCGGACTCGATCTGGTTAGCCTCAGGCGAAGCAGATGCTACAGAAGATTTCATCGCCATTCACTCCGACGATGCAAGAACCAAGTTGAAGAAGGTGTTTTTGTACAAGGGGGAATCGTTGATTTTGTTGGACTAACTAGGTTCTCTTTTGTTTAGTTCCATATCGGGAGGCTTCAAGCGAATGAGGCCGAATCACAGGGAGACGACACTACCGACGCACCACCCGACGATGACCCCTCAGCATCTGTAGTATTTTTGGATCGACGGAAATGGAAGGCCGCCCGCCTTGTCGGGGTGACCGGTGTCTCGCACGATTCCTTCATCTACCGCTTTGCCCTCGAATCGCCAGAGCAGCCTTTGGGATTGCCTGTCGGTCAGCACGTGTTCGTTCGATTGAGAAGGAAGACGACTGGGGAGATGGTCCAACGAGCGTACACTCCGGTCTCACAACAAGATGAGCACGGTCATATTGATTTACTGATCAAGTTAGGTCTCCGGAATTGGAAAGAAGAAAGTAGAACTGACTTTGCGACACCAAGGCTATACCTCCCGTGCGTTGCGTTCCCGCTCGGTGGTAAAATGACCGTTGGTTTCCATGAGCTTCTTGTTGGCGATACCGTAGAGTTCAAAGGGCCTCTCGGTTCTTTCGTCTGGGAAGGCAAGGGCAATGTGAGATGGAAAGACGTCCCTCGTTCAGGAATACGTCATCTGGGCCTCATCTGTGGAGGAAGTGGAATCACCCCCATACTCCAAGTCCTTCGGAGCGTCCTTCACGACGAGGACGATTCGGAGACGCGTCTTTACCTCCTCGACGCCAACAAAACGGAGTCGGACATATTGTGTCGGGAAGAGCTTGATACGTTGTACGAACAGCACGGCGATAAAAAAGCCCAGACTAGTGGATACGCCGCCGCCGCCGGCGGGGGACAAGTCCTCCTCCAACGACTAAAGATACACCATACGCTTAGTCGACCACCGCCCGAATGGGCTTTCAGTACGGGAAGGATCGATGATGGTATGTTGGAAGCTCTTATGCCTCCACCGGCGGACGATGCGATGGTCTTGGTGTGTGGACCTGACGGTATGATAAATGACGCGGTGAAGCCTGGGTTGGAAAGACTTGGATGGGATGTCTCCAAAGCGCTTGTCGTGTTTTAGTTATGTCTGTGCTAGGAGACCAGGCGAGTAGGACGGCCTCGATCAGGTTTGGACCTTCTTTACAATCTCAATTGTAGCTGTTGGCTTATGTAAGCCGTGAACAACTTTGACTCGACGCCTAGCTCTAAATCAACGGTACACCCTCCCGTATCACCTCGACCCGGGATCCTATAATGCAATCTATTCTGGGAGACAGCCCCATACATAGCATTTGGAACCCTCGATGATGTATTCTCATTGAGAGTCACAATCGTCCAAGAGAGCTGCCTAATAGGCTCTCTGGACGGTTTACAAGCTTCCTGCGTGAACTAATTGACCGTTTCTCTAGCGTGGCTCGAAGCATTTATACGAATAGTTCGTTTCGAGGGCATTTTGGAGTGTATGGGTTTATGAGGACATTGTTAGCATTCTGATCATCCACAAGGTATTACATCGGTTTATGCATGACGGTTTACCAGAAACGGCCCACCTAGATTTTTCAACTTCTAAGCGCTTGACGGAATAAGTGATTCCGGCTCTATATCATCACAATGGCTCACGCATTTTAATTGGTCGTTGGGGGGTTTCTCGTCGTATCAAACTGAAAGTTGTTTTTGGCGCTCTGGGGCCGGGGGGCGTCCTTGCCCTCCAATCGGTACTGCCAACACTGCACTTGGGCAATTGAAGGTGGAGTTGGTGCGTGTCTTCGAGACTTGTCACTCCTCTCATTAAGATGTTGACAAGCGTCTCTACTCGATAACATCTACTTGATCTACTTCGCCCTTTCTCTCGTCATTCGAAACTAGCAAACCATATCTTACTTACTGGAGTATGTGCCACACAGTGGACCTGTTTTCACTCCCACGAGGACATATGAAGGACTTTCAGGAGCCTCTCGCTGCCTATGAGGAACTTATATTTGCTGACTTGGCCGTGCTGCCAGTCATGGTCCTTGCCTTATCGTGTACTCTCTGAGCTTAGCGATCAGTAATAGTGCCGCTGCAAGCACGTGAATCTTTCATATTTTCTTTCAGTCCGATGGCAGGCATGACATTGGGTCTGCAAACATAGCAGTTGAAAAGCATGTCTCCTTTTCCAGGAATGAACATTCAGCACAATCCGAGGATCACTGTGGAAGAAGGCCAACTTGATGAACATCAGGCCTTGCATGAGCTACCTGGATTCGACTGCTGGGATGCTGGGACGCATCTGTCACACCCGATCCTGGCGCAGCACTACATTCCTATCCCAAACTGCCCACGGATAGCCTTACCAATGACTCACCAACTTTGGATAAGTTGTTCATGATCATCGTATCCCTGAGTGTCAAGTGGGAACATAAGTGATCTGCAGCTGCATTTGCGTCTGGTGCCCGAAGACTAGTTGCCGTTGCCTCGAAAATAACTTGTCTCCATCAGCGCATACTCATCCACGGATGGAAGGGAATATCAATTCTTCACATTCTCCAGTATAACTGGCGTATTTCACCGGAAGAGCCTGATGTGCGAAAGAGAACCCTGCGACTGATTCCAAAGGAATGAGAGCTACACCATGATCGTGGGGTCTTCAGGCAGGAGTTGGCTTGATGGCGAGGATGTGGGGCATCAGGTCTGACGATGCATCGATGGCTAATAGGAATATATGGTGCTTCGATCACACTTGCTGCAATTTGCTAAAATTTCTCCTTAAATAGACAATGCTGTTGAAGGTGTTGAGCGAAGAAAACGTGTGAGACACAATAATGCTCATCGGACTCAACTGCACAGAGAAAAATTGTGATTACCCAAAAAATAACACAATTGGGTACATCAATCGGCGGCAGCTCAAGCATTCACAGGCTAACCGTAAGGCTCCGACCATCGACGGCATTAAACTCCCGAGTGGACAATAGAAGGAATTACGCGAGAACAACCGCGATTCGCCTGGCCAAAACGCCTTTGCTTGTCGAACTCTCTCCTACGCCAATGAGGCTGCGGTACCATATTCCAATCAGCAGCGGAGCAGGGTTCATATCCGGCTGCATGTGGGTCTCCCATGGGCAGTCAGGGCGGGCGGTGCTCCTGAGCTCAAATATGTGATGTTGGATAGAAGAATTAGACAGGAGCGATGGAAACGTCATTCACGAGCTATGTGTTTCCTCAGTGCCGTCAGGTCCCGGCCCCTTTGGCTAAGGTTTCGTGCGTGTTAACGTCCAATACATTTCAGCGTGTATCATTACGCACTGGAATGCTTGAAGAAATCAGGGTTCGCGTTAATGTACATTTCGAACAACATCAGCTGAAGAGGTAAGTAGACGCAATGCCGCGACCCACAAGAAGGTGCTGCTAACTGTCAGTCTGTTGGCAGGATTCCGACGTCGACCTGTCGAACAGTCAGGTTAATTCGACAAGTTGGCTAAAACTGTGATGATCACAACGTTTCGAGCCGGAGTAGCAAGAGTCATCCAGGACATCAGACCCCATGGCGCATACAGTATGGGCCGCTGCGATTGGTCCGTTCGGAACGCAGTGTTGCGTTTAGTCTAGGGAAGCTACCGCTTCAAACAACAGATAAGCCATTGGCAACATTTCGGATGTTCAGTCCCCGCTTTGCACCCTAGCTACCGTCTTTTTCCTCCGTCATCTCCGTCGCCACGAGACCTAGCACGTCATCCTATGATACACTGCCTTCTTGCAACAAGAAGGCAACACGGTCTAACGCGACCGGTCCCAAGGCAAATGATAACCTCGGCACTGCCGGAGTCGGCCCACCTGAGGTGCTGAATGTCAGGTCCAATAACGCATCTATGGGACCCTCCATCCTTAACGCGCGTTTGCCTGCCCCAGCCAGGCAAATCGATGCGCCTCCACAAACCGCTGATAATGGCGGGTCACAAACGCTTCCGCGGCCCTCACCTGCCATGGATGACCGGCTTGATCGTGTCGAGCAGGCCTTAGCGGGCCTAATCGACGCGTCCCATCGTGAGATGCAAGACAAGATAGACATTGTCCATTTTACTGGCCTCAAAGGTGGCCTGGACGCATATGAGGCGTCCATCAACGAGCTGAGGACGGACATCAAGCGCCCTCGCTCTGAATCGGCTGACAGCCGATTGCTCACTAATGTGCCCTATCCCGGCACACTTCCTCCTGTTCCTCTCTGGCATTCAGAGAGGTCAAAGACGGTCCGTACGACCGTTCTCCGGTTTACACTGGAGACACAGCTCCTTCAGGCTCTGCTGAGGGACAACTCGCAGAAGCGCTCCGCGTTTCGACTTTCTCTGGGGCTGTCAAATGTACGGCCCCTACCCCTCCCTCTCGTTCCAAGAGGCCAGAAGCAGTTCCTACGACCGCTTCCCTGTGGGGTGATGCGCTTACCAGCCCAGGCTGGATGCCAGCTCACTGAGCACCCGCGCACTTTGACCGTTTCCAGGTTAAACTGTCCAGTGGTCCTTACCACCGTTCCTGGACAACAAGCGTCATATGGACGCCTAGGGATGACGCAGGAGACACGCCTCACGTCGGTTCCAAGCCAAATTGGTGGCAGCCTGCCCCTCCAGACTGCCAGCTCACGAAAGCGCTCCGCGCTTCCGTGATTCGCTCCGAGCTTTTACGTGCTCCCATCATCTGAATCCCCGGGTCTGGGACCGCTCATATGCTCTTCCCCTCCCGATGAACCCCCAATCCCGGAGTTCCGAAGGAAGAGCAAGTCTCCCAAGGAAGTTCTCAGCAGAGGCTGGAGAGCTGTGATACCGGCGTAAAACCGGTGGAGAGACCGTGGCATAAACCGTCTACAGCCTCTCACAATGAGAGGGGGCTGGCAGTAAAGTTGTGCGGACTGTTTTCCAGTCTGCGCAGTCTCCCCATTCCGGGGGGAAAAGGATCAATACTTGATCCCCCCTTGGAGTCGCTGTTTCCCTTCAAATTCGAAGGGAGTCGATCAGCTTTCTCGGCCGATCGCATACGGTGAAGCCCAGTATTTCTCCCTGCCAGGAGGACATTGCTTGCCATAGCGGCATGCGTACCTCTTTCCGTGCATCTGCACTGAACCATCGAATGTACAAACTGAGGCAAGTAGGCATTGGTGAATCTGAAGCCGAGCATGTAGGGCATGTACATACGATGTTCCAAGAGGCCCAGAACTGGCTTCGTTTTTCAAGCCTGAGCCAAGTCGTGATGCGCAGAATCACTCATTCGACAAGATGCCGAGGATGACCCGGAAATCGAAAGCATTTAGCTAGGGTAACTTCTCTGAGTCACTACTCCAAGTTGCGATGAGTCCCACAATGGTTGTTCAGGGAGAGCAAGAAGCTTTTGGAGCCAGTATATTTGCGAGAATTTGAAAGCCATCAGAAATTCAAAATTTGAGAATACGTTGTTCGATGGTCTTGGTATAGAACAATGTCCGACACTTGTCTCCTCTCCAGGCTAGTGATTATACATGTACTATGTAATGAAAAAAAGCAAGCGAAATGATCTAGTAGGGGACTTCGTGAAACAGTCTGGAGACGCTCTCGCCGTAGTGGCTACGTCGAATGACCTCACCCAGGACCGAAGCGATATCGATGACTTCAATTTTGTTGCAAGCGCGTTGGTTATCATGTTGTGGTATGGTGTTTGTCACCACCAGTTTTTCGAGACCTTTTGTTGCCTCAATCTTCTTGAGTGCGTCACCGGACAGGATTCCATGTGTTACAATAGCGATGACTCGTGAAGCTTTGCCCTCGACGAGATGGTGTGCCGCGAGGCATATGGTGCCACATGTATCCGCCATGTCATCGACAAGGATCGCAATCTTGCCCTCGCATTGTCCGACGAGCACCATACGCGAGACTTCGTTAGCCTTCTTCCGCTCTTTATGAAAGATGGCGAAATCTACCCCGAGCCGATCGGCGATTGAAGTGGCTCTGGCGGAAGCGCGCATGGGCTTAACCAATAACGGCAACCCAGTGAGGCATATACGCACCGTTTTGCACCTCCAGCATCTGGAGAGACAATGACTACATCTTTGATATTGAAGTTTTGTCGGATATAGTGGAGAACGGAGGGTTCGGCGTATAACTATGCCAACAATGAGATATATGATGTTCAAACACCGATTGCTTACACTATCAATCATGGTCGTCAGCTCTACGGCAGGAAGGGGAATTGGGAGGAAACGACACAGACTTGTCGACAGGGACATCAAAAAAGCCCTGAATCTGCGATGCGTGCAAGTCCATAGTCTAAACCAGAACATGGTCAAAGCGCATTGAAAAGCCAAAAGCATTGCTTAGCATACAATGACATGGTTGCAACCGCTGTTCTGCAACATATTTGCAACAAGCTTTGCGGTTATTGGAGCACGACTTTTGTCCTTTTTGTCTTGACGAGCATAGGGAAAGAGTGGTATAACGGCAGTGATCCTTTTAGCACTCGAAATCTTGCAAGCATGGATCATGATGCACAGCTCCATGAGGGAAACGTTCACAGAGAGTCCAGGTGGTCCACAACCAGTGTTAACGATGTATACGTCGGCCTCGCGAACAGACTCTCCGAGACGGACTGAAGTTTCTCCGGCCCCATTGCGAGTGACGAGTGCTTTCGACAGCGGTAGACCAATTCTGGGGATTGTAATGGGGTCAACCAACAGGCGGGAAAAGCCACAGAAGTGAAGCTCCGCGCACCTGTGAGCGATAAGCTCTGCAATCTCAGGATGGCTGGTGCCTTGAACAATTTTTTTCAAGGTGAGACCCAAGCGCTTATCAACGGTCTGGAGCCAACCAACCAGAAAACACTTTGATGCTACTGCCCCCTAGCATAGTGGCAAGCAAAGAACTAACAAACAAGGGAGTGGTTAGTTCCTGGATGACGATCACGAACGGTCCATGCGTTTATGTATTATATGAGGGGCGAATACTTCCCCGATCAGGCCAATTCGGCTACCCACAAATCTACCATAAACAGGAAGCATTCAATTGCTACAAACGTGCAAAGGATGATGCGACAGGGCAACACCCGATAACCATGGAGGTGTGAAAACTGTGAAAAACCATAGAAAAGATATTGAAAAACGTAAAAAAAGCAGCAACACGCCAAATCAAAAATACAACAATTGGAAGAAGGCTGGGATGGTCAAAAATTAGGGCGGTTCAGAATAGCGAGGAGATTCACATTCGAAGGCTGAGTAACAGGGGGCTTTGGACCTGATATAGTCGCAGGCTGAGATTGAGGATTTACAACAGGATCCATCTTTCTCATGTCCCCGTTAATAGGATAAGGTACTGAAGAATTATAGCGATGAGATGCAGGTGCGTGAATAGGGGGAGCGTCCATACTCTGGATTGGCACTGGAGGTAAGTAAAGGGTGGTATTGTGAAGGGGGAAAGCTTGGACTGGGGTAGACCTCACTTGCGGTCCATTCAACAAATTCAATATATCATTCCTTGGTGCGACGTTGCTGTGTGAATTCGGTGGTGGGATGCCAGGGATAGGGAAAGGCATCAAAGGTTTAGTTCCACTAATCATTCTATAGTTGTTGGGTACGGGGTCAAGGCGTGGCTGCAACGGAATGACTGGTTCTCGAGGCTGCGCCAGAATTGGATAGATTGGGAGGCTGGTAATGTGGCGAGGGAGCGTAGCGCCCATGTGTAGCCGAGATGGGTCCAATTGCGGCGCTCGTGGGGTAAATAGCTGAGACGGTGAAATGGCGGGAGCTCGAGCAGGATTGACGACGAATGGCGAATCCTCAATGCGAGGTTGGCTGGAAGCAGAAGGATGCGGAGAGGATGACTTTGGCAATAACTGTGTGCTGAGAGACTGCAATAACGCAATACGCTGTGCCTGGCGATTTGAATGAGGGTCAGGAGACACATTCGTGATCGATTTTGCCCCGCTGGACACGGAGTTGGTCACCGAAGATACCGATGCTTTCCTGGCATTTGAAATTCGTCTCGCCTCCACCGAAGGCGGAGCAAAGTGCTCGAGCATCGAGGAGCCATTAGAACGAAGGGCCGAGGGTGAATGTTGTGATGTGGAGGCTGTCGAAGTCGAAGTCGAAGTCGAAGTCGGAGACATCAGTGGCTTTGTCCCTACAGTACCCGGAGGAGACGCGGCGGGTTGAGCAGGCGATTCGTTCGCAACCTTTGCGGAACCAAATGCATCAAACGGGGAGATGAAATCGAATTTAAGCTTCGGTTTGGCACTTGGCGGACGTGAACACTCATTTGGGCTATCATCAATCTCCTCCGAATTTGGCGGCGTAGGTGAGGAAAACGAGCCTTTGACATGCTCTTCAAACAGCAGTCTTGACGAAGCAGGTTTCAAATCGTTTTTGGTAGCATGTACCATGGATGGGGTCGTCTGAGGTGTTGGAAGGGCACCTTGTGTAGATGGTGTGGTGACAGGGTTCAGAGACGGAGAATCAGCAGGAGCGGTCATATTCAATGAACCAAGGAGGCGGGACAGGTGGCCACTTTCAGGATTGTGAAGTGTAGCAGAAACAATTGCGGGGTCGTCGGGCAACGGGTGATAAGTAGGGGCATTCTTATTTACGGAATAGGACTGGTCGCTAAGTGCTTGGGATGGTGGATGTTTTGCCTCGGCAGCTCTTAGTCGCTTAATAACTGACTTGAGAGGTCTGTAAAATCCTGTATCAGTAACTAGCCGAGTACAGACGATTCAGAGTGACTCACCCAACGAAAGAGGAGATTGCATAGAATTTGAAGGATGTTGGACTCTTTGTATTCTTTTTCCATGCAGGTAAATCAGATAGATTGAACCATTGAATTTTCTGCGGTCACCAGTTAGAAGGGATACCATGGCCGAAACTCAGGGACACATACACTGATCTCCTTACGAGTTTTGGTCTCGAACACAGTGTCCTCGGGGACATTGGGAATCACAAACAAGGATGTGCGCTGATCTTTTACGGTTACCCGAATGACAGCATCGAGGTTGATCTTGTCCGAGATATCGTAACCAGTTTCTTCCATTACCTCACGAGCAGCACACTCGTGTTCAGGTTCATCAAGATTGATCTTTCCCCGAGGAAAGCTCCAAGCCGCACTGGACTTCCACCCTTTCACCAATACACACTAGTAAAGGAGATTGAATAAACATGGGGGAAATTGATCTCTCGGCACCCATCGTACCTTCGTCCATGACGGATCTATCATGATGGCACCACACACAGGGACCGTAGTCTTATACGCCATGAAATCCTGAAAGGCTTGGTCATGGGCAGGACTCCAATGAACTAGCAAGGGACATGATTGAAAAAGCATCCCAGAGAAAGTCTTGAGGGGGAGGGAAGGGAGGCTAGGCTCTTCATCGCGGATGTAATCCTCGTAGTACCAATGGCTGTAGATATGGATCAGTGAGAAATGGGGATTGTGGCTATGGTGAAGGAAAGATATTCACGCCTGCTCGACCTGAAAGCATATCCGCTCGACTGACACGAGCTCCTCTTCTGGAAGATTGAGGATAAACCGACTGGAATCAGGCAAATTGAGCGTAAGATAACTCTTAGGGATGATAAAAAAGCCGGACGCACCTCGAAAGGTCTTCCAGAACCTCTTCGATGGAGATATTTTTGAAGGAGAAGTGCTTAGCTCGAGCATCAACATCTAACGTGGATGTTGATGCCTCGATTGATGAAGGCCCAAAAGGCGCCATAGCGCACAACGAGAGCTTCAATAGATGAAAGAAAAGGGAAAAGAAAGAAACGGGGGTTTAAGTTCGAGAGCTTGAGGAACGCGAAACGATGGTGGGTTTGAGATGTTGGTGGAAGCTTACGTAATCCGGCGTCTCTTTTAGTTCCCACCCATCGTGCTGTCTGGGACAAAGAACCCTCTGCGTCTCATTGCTCCTTCGCTAGTCTCATTGGTCCCTCTCTAGTCTCATTACTCCTTCTCTAGGATAGCGTCGTGGTGTTCTGCATGGATGCTGGCTTCTGGAACGTTCACTTCTGGGACTTCTTGGAACTGGTGTCTCCATTGCCGAGCCGTGAATGACCCAATGTTGATGATACTGCGCGTGCACTCTAAGCTACTTGCTCCTCTTGAGCTGCTATCGGATTCCACCCACCTGATAGAACCCCCCGAGGTCAATATCTTCCATCTCATTTTGCGGTGTAATATACCATCCACCCATCCTTGGAACCCTCTTAACCCCCCCAGTGACGATCCATGGTGTACTACCTTCTCCCGAGGGCGGGATTTCTGAGCCTCCTGAAAACAGAACGTCGATAATAATATCCCCATCGCCACAATCCAAAGCGCCCTGAAAAGGCCCGGTATCCTCTCTGTATGGCATCCATCGGATTTTCTCCAGTGATAGCTTGGGGACGGAGTTGTCCCCCCACCCAAGGACATCCTGTACCAAGCCCTGGCGAACTTCCCTGGCCCAGTTGAACACGCGCCCGATTTGATATTTCACAAACGCGTCACGGCGTCTTGTCGCCGTTTCAGCCAAGGCATGTTCCAGAGCTCTAAATTGCGCAAGGGATGCCTCAGCTTGGTCTGGGAGCCAGGTATCCGTGCATCATAGTTAATTAGAAGCCCTTCTCTGTACGCTTCCCGCGCACTTTGGAAGTGTGGCAGCGGTCCCGTGGGGAGTGGATTTGGGCCACATTTCATAAAGATGTTGCGAAGAGCGCAGTGACCCTGCAAGAACGTGGCAAATGACTAGTGATCGTTCTTGTAGTCAGCAAGCATAGTCGTACTGCGGCATTGTGGGCTACTGACATCGCGTCGCTTATGCCTAGTTGGTGCTGTTTGACTATGCCCTCCCGCAGACCCATGTTGCTCGGATAAGACATTGCCAGAATGGTCAAAATCTGACCATTTCCAAACATTTCCAACATCAAGGGTCTCAAGGCCACACAACTCGTCCCATACAGTATGTTCAAACCATGTATTTTCCATGAGATCGAAGGATACTTTCAAATCCGTCAGCCTCGAAGGGTTGGGCATGGAAGTGACCAAATGAAAAAATTGTTCCATCTCGATAGGCTCGTGTAGGCGTAACGAACTCATATGAATGGCTCGCGACAGCAAAAACGAGCAGAATGTTACATCCCGTAACGATGAGAACGACATCGCCAATTCCTGTAATTGTTCTCCACACCTGCGAAGCAGATCAGTGCATGTTATGGCTCGACCGCCGAGCCATGATCCCCTCATATCAAGCGAACGAACTCTTGATGCATCGGTCAGGGCACTTGCAATGGGTCGAAGTGGCGAGAAGGATAATCGTATCCACGTGAGTCGGCAAGGAAGCTGGGGATTATTCTGACGTGCTGTACGCAAGGCAGTCGTGCGATGATGGCTCCTGCGATGTGTTCTGGAGTCCCGCAACGAGTATCCTTTGTCCAATCGCTCAGGAGTATTCGTACTGATCTTCATAATTATATAGATACAACGTCAGCTTTATGCTTGCAAATAAACGGGTGATGGCTCCTACCTAACGCAATACGCGTTCCTCCAGGGGACCCCCGCGAGAATCTCCTTCAATGGGCTTGATGTGACGTCCGTCGTACATAAAAGTTTTAGAGTATAGAAGAGATGGGGGCAAGTGATGGCCCGACAGCTTCTTGATGCTAGGCTCAACCGACGAAGATCCTCAGTAGAAGAAAAATGAGCGACCAAGCTGAGGACCAGTTCCAACTTGGCTTCAGCTTCCATAGCTTTCAGGTCCCAGACAAAGTGGTCTTCCCTCACGTCTGACGAACGGACGTGGATCTGAAGTGAGGTGAAAGTCTCAACTGAAAATTTCCTCTGATAGGGGCAGTTGCCCGTTCAGCTGTGCGCTCATGTGGCCGTGCCATTGATTTTATGCAATGATTCCCAAATGGATCGTGGGGGTGTAATCAAGCCGCCGGGCGCCTGACGATGGCACATTCTATTAACCCTAAGATACGGCCACTCCCGGTGCTTCCAAACATATTGCGGCTCTTCAACGGTGTGGCAGTCTCCGATGTTGAATGAGCGATACATGAAAAAGGTGAACCTTGGCCGGGCGGCCGCCTGCCAGTGTCTTGCGGCTTCCGCTTGTTGGTGAGTGACGCTGTTTTCCTGTGCGCGCATTGATTGTGCATGCTCAAACAGAAGGACCAACTCAGACAACCGTTCCTGGTCAATGTTCCTGCTTGCTGGACGTTCCAAAATATGAAAAATATATTGAAATTCCACTTCCATTTAGTTCAGGCTGGTTAAACGTGTTCGGGCGAGAATGCAAAGAGATTGAGGCCACTGAGAGCTGGCTCTTTCAAATTGCGATGATTGTAGCAAAGGAGGGCAATCTGGGTCGAAGCCATCTCAGTTTAGACGAAATACTTGGTGAAATCGATGCCAACTTACACCTCCAGCTTCCACGTTAAAATGCGTCCCCAGAGCGGGTGTGAACTCCATCCAGCGCGAGATGAACACGCGGGAGAAATGGCCTAAACATACAGGTTCCCAAGGGAGTTTCATCCGTGGTGACAGCCAACCCACCATGTGAGAAAATCATGACGTCTTTTTTGCCGTGACCTTCTTCAAAGTACTGACGGTGATACTCGTGTACCTTTGCAATGACCTTGTCCACTCGAGCTGTCATCTCTTCGACGCTCTCTCCTCCAGGGCACCTTTAGGGGAAAAAAGAAACACCCGAGTCCGCGTTAGGCTATCTTGTGGGAGAATTCAGAGATACCAAAATCCGTACCCATCTGTCCAGATGGCCCATCCTGGCTTCCTCGCCTGTATCTCGGCAGGCTTCAGACCTTCAAAATCGCCATAATTCCACTCTGCGACTTCTTCGGTTGTGTGGATTACCCCTGGCTCTCCGGGTCCCTTACAAGTCGAACTATCATCCTCCGCAGGAGTAAATTCGTGTGTATGACCATCAAACAGCAATTCAAAAGTCTTTCGGGCACGCTGGCGAGGCGAAATCCAGACTTTTCCTATTTGCGTTGGATCGAGGAATTCTAGAATAATAGTGAAGAAGGTCGATTATGGAATAGAATGTTGAATAGTAACCAATCGGGATTTCGATGCGTATACTCACTTCCAGGCCCTGCGATATGTGGGGCTTTTTTCTTGATAATTTCGACCCCATTTTGAGTCAAAGGAATATCGCTGCGACCAGTCTAAAGACAACCAAACCTTAGTATCAAAGCTTCAACGCGGTGCGAGGAAAACATAATTGAGGGTATAAACCTGTCACTGACGTGACGACCTGAATACAAATCCGCAATCATATTATGACGGCCCAGACGGTTGTGGCATGGCCGGCATGAATTCGAGGAGCGAAGGACACTGCATTCAGCGTGATCAATCGAAGCTCGCACCAAGAGAGGACAGACCATTAAGACTCCACTCCGTCTCGCCTTCAAGTATGCTTCCTTAGGACCAGCTTGAGCGCAGGCAGATTGATAGCGTACCATGGCGCATGAGAAAAAGACGGGGCAATTGCCTCTTTTCGGTCATCTTCGACGACGTGGTTAGACTAAGATCGTGTGAGGGTTTAAAAGCAAGAACTGCCGGACCCTCCTTTTGAGAGGAGAAGCTGGTCGAGACGATCGAGAATCGAGAAACGGTCCTAAATTACGTCACGTGTGGGTTGTGATCACGATGGACAAATGGAAAAATATGTATTATCGTTATGGACGCACATGTTTTGGTGGACTCCTGAAATACCAAAAAAAAAAAAACAAAAAAAAACAAACAAACAAACAAACATGTTAGAGTAGCACGCGACAACGAATCCGATTTGGGGTTGGTGACGACAATTTACCACTCTTTTACGGAGGGCGACTTGGGATCGCATCGGGACCGAGAGGGGGAGTTATGGCCAAGTCTCTCAGAATCTAAGGGACATTGACGCTGATCGGAGAAATCACCTCATCAAATGGGGCAAGTGCTACTCACCTCAGCCCTCTGATGAGGACTTAATTGTTTCCAAACATCCAATACCGGCTTCCCCTTCGCATCTCTGATAGCACCCAGCTGATTCCCAGCAAAGCCACCAACGATTGCCCCAGGAATACCGCCGACCACGAGTCCGAGACCCGCCCCTCCCGCTGTACCCACGTGCGACCAGCATGATGTGTGTTGCTCACCTTCGCGACGAAACAGATCCCTGTACGCGGTTCCGGGGTTACCCTCCGGATTTGGACGCCAAACTTCAGTAGCGGAGGAATCAGCCATATCTGGTACGTTGGAGCCTGTGTCCCGCGAAGGACATTCGGGCGAGCGGCGCGCAGTGTCGTGGCGCCGGGGGTTACGTGATGCATGCTCTGTTCCCATGGCCCCATTTCTTTGCACACGCTCCGCATTTTGACTCCGGGGTTTAGTGGAGGAGGAAGGGACTTGACCGGTTCTATCCTGTGCGTCGGAGCTCGTGTCCCACGGGCAATATTCATGTGGACGGTGCACAGCATCGTACTCCCTGCGGCGCTGAGAGCTAAGTGATGCGTATTGCTCCACTTCGGGGCTCGGCGGGCCCCCGAACTCATTTCCGAGTACATCCTCCGCATTTGGACGCCGGAATCCAGTGGGGGAGGAAGGAAATGCACCGTTTGTGTCCAAGCCCGTGTCCCGCGGACGATATTCGGGCGAGCGGTGCACAGTATCGTGGTGCCGGGGGTAATGTGATGTGTATTGCTCCAGTCCCCTGGCTGCATTTCCTGACACACGCTCCGCATTTCGACGGTGGGGTTCAGTGGCAGAGGGAGGAATGGACCGGCTCCATCCTGTGCATCGGACCTCGTGTCCCATGAGTAATGTTCATGTGAGCGTTGCACAGCATCGTACTCCATGCGGTGCTGAGGTTAGGTGATGTGTGTTGCTGGCGAGGCAGCCCCCCGAACGCATTTCTGGCACATCCACCACATTTGGATGCCGAAATCCAGGAGGGAGTAAACCGGCTCTATCCGGTGCATCGGAGCTCGGGCAATATTCGGCTGAGCGCGCAGCATCGTATTCCGACGGCGCCGGAGGTCTGACAAGACACGATACGCATACTCAATAGCCTATGAAAGCTCCACTATTGAGTACTAATAGTAGAAAATGGTTCAAGGGGACTTTTACCCGGAACCACTCATTTTGCTCTTCAGGGGTGACATTGGGGTTCCTGTCAAGATAATTTCTGCACAACCGTGTGGGAAGCGTAAGAACATTAGCTTGCAGCAGTCACAGTCACCTTAGAAGCTCATAAGCAGCATGAATGTCCTCCAAAGTAGCAGTAGGAGGGACGCCTAGATGTCATAGTGATCTGGGATACGAGGCCGCCTTGACATTGCGAGAGGTTTTTCGGAAACTTGATTATCTGAATTGCAGGGAGAGGTGCACTTCGACAAGGTTAGAAGATTAAAGTTTGGTGTTCGAGTTCACAAGTCCACAACATGGAAAGTGGCTGATGGTGAGGAATGTCCAATATTTAACTTTGATAAGCAGGAATATAACCAATCCCATGTGATTGGCGATCATTTTACTGGTGGGCGCCTCCCCCGCGCGCTGTTACCAAACCAAGAGCCTTCAAGGACTAAGCCGTTGCAGACGCCACCACTTATTACCCCGGATTCGCGTCATTGAGCAATCAGGCTTTTCCAGTTTCGAAAATCGCTGGGGAAAAGGGTGTTACGAAACGACCAGGATAAAGCCCTCTTGTTCAGGGGTCCTCAGTTAATAGAGGAATCTAAACATTCGTCCGCCTTACATTGGTTCCATGTCTCGGGAGAGTGGAATGTGTTCCCTGCTGAATTGGGCGTCTCGCGAAATTTTGCGCAAGACCTTAGGGATGATAAGCACTGAAACGACCGTGCAGTGACACGGAATCATGGTTCGGAAACATGACGACACATAGCTCCTGGTAGGTGAGGAGTCCACATAGGAATGTTTTCTTCGCCGCTTGGCCTGATTAGCGTCTTCCGGTCTGCTCCACCACTAGGCCGAAGTAGCCCCTATCTCTAATCAGGGTGAGCTTAATGATAGTACGATGGGAAGTACCGCTGTGCCTTGGATTGTGTTGATTTTTGGAAGGGTTGGCTTGCGATGCCACTAATTAAGTGCAGACACCTGGACACGGAATCTTCAGGGCGGTAGCCACACGTGTTGCGCATTGATTCACAAATAGAGCGCTCGTTTGTTAATTTCGGGAGCTTCGCCGCGATCTAACTGTCCATGGCTAGGACGAAGGACCTGATGATGCGTATCGGATGCAATCGACAGTCCCAGCAGGATGAGACGATGGGACGGCTCAAACCGAAAACAGCTGTGTGGAAGTCGTGTTGTTCGACTACTGTGTTGCGCATTCCAGGCCAAAGTGTGGCAGATGGTTGTGACACCATCAGGACGTAAGCTAAGTCCCGGGATCCATGCTTCTTGTTGTTAGCACCACCCAGGAATAGCTACCATATCGCGGCTTACAGAGCCCTGCGCGAATACTACATCCTGGCCCGCCAACACCGACTTCCTTAGCCGGGCGGTGTAAATGAACACAGCTCCTAGCGGTCAACCAACCGTCCATAGCTGGACTTGCTGTGTCCTAGGGCGCGCGGGTCGCGTATTGCGTTGAATAGGTTTTGTATTACGGGAGCTGAGATCCAGACTCTCAAAGTTTTGGAATACATTCCCTGCGGCTGAAGGATTCACCCTAACAAGCAACAGGTCCCCATCTCCGTGTTACATCGTAACTGAAGACAATATCCCTCATCACAGCCTCAGAAAAGGTGCTAGAATCCCATACCCCGCTGGATGGTTCCAAACATAGCTAAAATGTTCGTTTCCATGGCCCAGTTCTCCGTTGGGGAATGGCGCAGCAGAGCGCTCGGTATTCCATAATCAGGCCCCGCTGAGCTGTGCAGGAGATCGAGCATCTCCATACGCTCTGCGCGTCAAAGGCCTCATCGCCGACAACATGTCCGTCGTAGCAATGTCACAGAGTCAAAAGGCTAGCCCCTTAAGGGCCAATGATCTCAGACCGTGGAGAATCCAATCCCCACAGCCCTTGAACCGTGCTCGAAGGGCTCGCTAAAGAGCGCTGCCAGTAGGACCTCGTCGAGGCTAAGGGAAGTAGTGATCTTCGCTGGGTCGTGGACGAAAACTTAATTTGCACCGAATGAGAATAGGATTGAAGGTGGGAGCCATCACTTTGTGCTCGGTGGCCAACTGTATAGCAATTGGTGTTCTCGTTAGTTGCACAAAATCCACAGGCGCTGTAGCAGATTGTATTGGAGTCGAACGAGGCTAAGAGCAAATGAGTTTCGTGAACACATTGTCCCGCTCGGAGCCAGGCGCCCGAAAGACATTGGCACAGCGTTAGGCCATTCCGGGTAGCTCCCTACAATACCACCCCCTAGCCTAAAACGGACCTAACGATTGGTGTTGCATCATTAGCAGCAAGTGGTAAAAGGACAAAAGAATTCGGCCAAGATTTCCAACACAGCCAGTCGGCAACTGCCATGCGCCACTTCCTGGATTGAATGGCTCCGGACGGATCGTGACTTGCACTGCAGGAGATCCAAGCATTCCAACTACGAGAGCCAAACATCCTCTGCAATGGAGAAGTCGGTAGGCACATTATCCAGATGCACAGCTCTGTTCTCAGTTGATGGGATGGGCGAACTCGCACCCGTCCTCATGCATGATCACGCAAGATGATGATACGTGGGTACGCTCAAAAACCTTGAAGAAAAAAAAGATGCCTCGTGCTTACCACCCCCAGAAGACAAGGCCGAGTTCACCAATGCAGGTACTGCGGAGCGCGAAGAGGTCGTGTGTGCGAGTGTCCCTCTGGTGGACCAACAGGACGAGAACCACTCTCTTTTCGAGAGCTGATGGACGGGAACCCGACAGACGACTAGCGGCTATGGAATTCCATCGCGATTGAACAATGTTTGGGGGTTCAATAGTGGCAGATTGGGGTGATCATCGATACATCGCAACATGTTCCAAATGGTATTTTTGAGTCACAAAATATCAGTGCGGAGCCCACGACAACCAACCCATCTTAAGGTAGACACGCAGTGGAGGTCATACATGTATTGCAGAGTTCTTACGTTCGTTATATGTACATGGGTCACAAAATACGTTGCTGGGCAAAGCGGTATGGGATAAAGGACGGAAATTATAAGTGGGTTGGCAACCACAATATTGATGACTATACTGGCTGTTGAAGATCCAAAGGATGGGAGAACACCACGCTACATTGAGCCAATAGAGCCAAGCACTTTAAAGGCCAAAACTTTCAGGATCTACAGAACGGGTGGTAAAATCAATGTTAACAAACGGTCGCGCGGGAATTGGGGACATGCCAATCACCTCAGCTTTCTGACTGCCACCCAACTGTGCAAAAACGGAAATGACTGGTTTTCCCTTTGCGTCTCGAATAGCACCGAGCCGATTTCCAGCGACACTACCAGCTATTGCTCCAGGAATATTTCCCAGTATGTATCCTAGAGTGCCTCCGCTCAGCGCACCCAGGTATGACCACCATGATACGCGCCTCTCCACTTCAGGGCGAAGTAATTCCTCGAACACATCTCCGAACACACTTTCCGGATCCGGACGCCGAAACTCTCCCTCGGCGTCCATGCCAGCTGGATTCGAAGCTGATGATGAAGCTTGCTCAGCACGCGGCGTGAAGAAAGATTTGAATTGCTCGAAGAAAGCTGCAGATGCAGCTGGGTCTGTGGTGAAGAACGGAAATGGGCCAGCCCCAGTCCCTGCGTCCGCGCCCGAGTTCTGATTGGCACCCCCACTCTTCGACGAAGAATATCCGCGTGAGCGAAGCAGAGCATCGTATTCCTTACGGCGCTGAGGGCTAGATAAGACATAATATGCATCCGCAACAGCCTATAGAAGCTTCACTGTTGAGCAGGATTGATCAGAGGTTTTTCGAGAGAAACTGCACACCTGGAACTGCTCTGTCATTTTCTTCCTCTCCTCAGGGGTAGCATCAGGTTTTCGGTCAGGATGAGTTCTGTGATTCCACGGTTAGGAGCAATGAGAATGTGGGACTCATAGTAGTCTTGCTTGCCTCAGGGACTCCTTCTTATAAGCAGCACGGATCTCCTCCAAACTGGCAGTAGGAGGAATACCTAAAAGGTCATAGTACTGTGGGATCTGAGGTTGACTTGACATGGCGAAGGGCGGTCAGGGTCAAGACAATCCTGAGAGTTAGTAAAGAGGAATGTCGCTAAACGGGAGCGGGATGGTGTGAACAAATGTGTGCGGGAGTTTATGAACAAGTACGTGGCCACAACAAAGGAGTTTTGGTGGAGCCGAGGTCCTGATGACGTAAGCAGTGGCATTTTTTATCTGTCTGTGCTTTGTTCGACCCCCCACCGCGCAGCTACCAAAAGATCGGTCCCCTTAGGCTTCTTCTGGGCAACCTTCCTACTCTTAAGAGCCTTTCATATAATGCATTGGTATGCATTTAGTGGGAGTTGCTAATCGTCCACACTCGCAAATTCTGCCGTGTGGACAATGTCGCTCTGCTGAAACGGCACGCATGCAGTTCGCTTAGACGTGTACTTCTTAATGCCTTCGAAGACTGCTCGACGGCCGAATTGACCTTCGGTGGGTAGGCATGAAATAATTCTACTACCCGAATAAGTTCTTCTCGATAAAACCCTTCAGACTATGAACTAGGAACACAGCAAGGATAAAAATGGTGTGGAAGCAATTGTCCGTCTGACAGCTCTCTGGCTGTTTAATGACTGTATGGTAGGTCTGAGAGTAGTAGAAAGAAACTTGTTGTCGAATTGGAGGCGCTTGCGCATCATCTTGGTGAGGCAATAAGCGCCTATTACAACGGCTAGGATAGGGAATAATTCAACATCCAACTCCCGCTACGCAGAATGATGGCGGTCTTGCAAAGTAGCGAACGGCCGTTCAGCCTCAAGGCACGATTGCAGGGCAGTCTCGTTGGTAAGAGGAGTTGCTGGAATATGTTCCGTTTTAGGGAGCCATTCCTACTCAAGACTATGCAGACACCCAGAGCCCGAAGAATATCACGCGGTAACATGGGCGCGGGTAGGGCTTCGCCAGACCTTTTCTATATCGCCCGGTAGTATTACCCGATCAGTGCGATCGTTACTCGGTACGTGCGTGTACATGTTGCATTGCCCAACAGGTGTGATACCGCAATCCGGTGACAAGATCAAAGTGCTTCCCTTGGGTTGCATTATCAGATTGCGCTAATAGGCAATTAATGTACAAATTTCAAACGTGAGATTTTGGGGCGGCAGCCAGTCGTGAATCGCTCGCCGATTCTCGGCATTGAGACTAAGGATAGGAGCTGGTGCCTGATAGTGCCCCAGAAGGAATTGGGGGGTCTTTCTTTCGCTACGATGCGAGTCCTCGAACATCGGCATGATTAGGTAACCAACTCAGAATGCTTTTCTTACAGGGAATCGATAGGTAGGCTATGGATGCGCAAGTTGGCAGCTGGGTTCTCTTGCAGGATCTCCTCCTTATGGTCCATGCTTACCGCGAACTGCTGCAAGTTTTCGACCGGGTAGGATCAGCACATGTTCCGATAATATTACCATTACGATGTCAGAGAGAGGGCTAGAATCCTCCCCTACACAATCCGCAAACATATCATTTGAATTTCTTGTATACATAGGTCCCAATTTTCTGGATGTGTTTTCCTCATCGCAATGTGGAATGTGCTTCCACGCATGGGAAATGGGGCGATCATGAATATTGACGAATGAATGTCATTTAAATTTTCAAATAATCCATTGCTATATGTGACAGCGTTGGCAAATTGGCGCGACCCTGTCTCTCCTCTCAGTCTCAACGTGATTGCTGGTCACTGTGCTCTATCATTGGCAACTGATCTCAACTCGCGAAGTTGTATATGAATCACTCGTCTTTTGCTGATTGTACCAGTGCTTTGCCACCCACGCCCCTGCTTCGCATGAGGTCACAGAGTCTATCTGGATTATCGTCAACTCTGACTTATGGAACTTCGTGTGATGATACACGACAAACATCCACCGGACAGGCATCCTTTCCAACAATGGGTTTTGTTAAAACCTCGCCGCCCCCTTCGTCTTCCCGTGCTTCACTGACATCTTCGTTGATCACTCGTGTTGTCCGTTCTGCGCCCAGCAGAGTTTACTCATCGCATCGCAGAAGAAGAAACAAAAGCGTTAGCTTCCTTAATGTGGAGGCTTCAAACGGCACCCCCGCCCTCCGCTGCAATCATTGGGAAGAAACACGCTATGGAGGTGATGCCGCAAGCGATGCAGGACCAGTGGCACTGAATGATCGCTGGCTAGAACCGGCGCGTTTCTGGGACCATCACCCTCAGAAGCGCGTGCGGTTCAGTCGATCTCCAGTTGCCAGGGCATCGCTCAACGAGACTCCATCGATATCCCCATCTCGATCAGCATCCCCCATAGTACAGGTGCGTGCCCGATTAGGATGCAAATCCAGGGATGTTTCCAATGATTTTCACGGTCCAGGGGCTCAAGTGTTCTGGCGACATTGCATCTACAACCGAATCCTCCCCCCATTTACCCTCATCGACACGTGTCCAGACATCCTTACTCCCGTCAACCTCCAGCGTATTCTTCGTCAGGGCGCCCCCCGCCCCACCACCATCGGCACATGGGAGCGATGTCGAAGACAACGACACTCAACCTGCAACGTCTCGATCATCCGGGATTGCGGGGCTTCCCACGTCGGGCGTTTCTCCCCGTGACGTGGGGCTTCCAGCTTCCACTTCCGCATTTTCGCTTGGGGCCATGGATGAAGCACTCAGCCGACTTCAAGACTCCGATACCGGCCAAAGCCACGAAGACGGTCTCCATGACTCAGATGGGGAAGGGGTGTGGCCCGGGGGTTACGGTACCGTGTCTACATTACGGAGTCCCCCTCATATCCAGGACGCAAGCTACTTCATGCTCAAAATGCAAGCCTGGGAGGAACGATGCGGCCATATCAGTCAGTTTGTTCGTGAGAGAACACTAGATGACCAGTCAAGACGTGCAAGTATGATATCTGGGAGCAGCACCTATTTATCTGGGCCAGGGGTGCGGGGTCGGAAGAGAACTTTTACGGAGCACCAATGCGATTTGGACAACGAGCCGGATGTCGCTGATGACTCTGAAAGCGATGAACATCCGTATCGTGACTCCTGGTTCTGTCGAGAATCACGGACTGACATTGGCGTCTCGGCCCTTATGGATACCGATGATGAACTGATACACGCCACTCACCAAAATGTGGAACAATTTCATCATGCCACACCCAAAGCTGCTGCTGCTCTCCTCCGGACCTTACCCTGGCCCACTTCACCTAGCTCAACCTCATCATCGTTAACTGAGTCTTCTGTTTCGACGCCTCACTCTGCGCTCTTATCCTCACAACCCTTGAGTGATCGATCTTCCATTTGGCTTCCCTCCAAGGAAATCTCTTGCATCTTGCAACCGACGAACGTAGCTCTCACTGGAAGCACCTTCATGCCTGGAGGGGAACAGGGTGATATGGATATGTAGATCGTTCTTCATTACATTGCTCAAACGTCATGCTGTCTCTCCCTTCCTGATCCTTATCGATCCTTAGCTTGCGGATATCTGGCACTTTCATACACTTCCACATTTTCACCTGCCACCGACCTGAGGCGCTGGCATTTACGTCGGAGGAAAAGAATCCTGAATAAGTTAACTTTCTCCCCGTTTGTTCCCGGGGTTTTCCCGGATACTGCACCACCTTTTTAGATGCCCCATCCTTCTATAGGTTGCTTGGGGTGTCGCTCTTCTTTCTTCCAACCTTCGCTTCCTGATCCTCATGTTCTTCGTGTATAGGTGTTAGTTCACCATGTGCAACGCGCGTGTTCTGCTGTATGTAATGCCTTTTTGGAGCTACGAGCGTGTGATGATGAACCAAGTACGGACAATGCTGCAATTTTCACACGTCCTGGCGTGTGAGCTTGAGAAGGTGACCGTGACCGAATATTGTTGTGACAAATGATGGCCATTCTCCAGTTTTTGGGTTTTGTGGTGCCCCTCATCGGGCTCATCACCACCGCAATCCTCCTACGGCGCTTTGCATCGTTTATACACGTTTACTTTCTTCATAGGAGTGCAATTCAACGTTATGCATTGGATGATGATACATTCGCTGTCGTTACGGGCGCAACAGGAGGCATGGGCAAAGCGATCGCAGAAGACCTTTATGATAGAGGGGTATATTTAGTCATTCATTAATGTGGAAGCGGCGATTGATACCTCTTTCTGTGTGTTAGTTCAACCTCGTTATCCATGGTCGCAGTCAAGAGAAATTAGATAGGGTGAAAGAGGAACTCTTGCAGCGGGGGCCCCTCAAAAAGATCGTGCATACCCTAAGAATTAATGCTGAAGATACTTCCACATACGATTTCTCTTCTCTGAAAGGGTTGAAAATCACTGCTGTTTTTCTGGTGGCGGGTGGGGCGTCCGTACAAACCGTTCCGTGAGTACATATACCCTTCCTCTCGGGCGAAGATCAGAACGTTCATGTTGATCTGAATCATATTCATCACCAGTTATGACCAGGTATCGTCTGAATATGCCAACGGTGTCATTCGCCTCAACGCTCTCTTTCCCATTGATCTCCTTCGAGCCCTCCTCCCTCAAATGCGCGCCGCAAAGGTGCCAATGCTGGTCGTCGGAATTGGTTCTATTACTGGGCGTTATCCGGCGCCATTTTTATCCATCTATTCCGCGTCGAAATCTTTCCTTCTCCGATTGATCCACGGACTAAGTATCGATGAGAGTTTTCATGATCCTTCCGCCGATACCACCTTCCATTATATGAACGTCGGAGAAGTGATTAGCCCTGGAAGTTTCACGAAGGAACCGAATCTCTTCTGTCCTACGCCTGAAACGATAGCTAGGGCTATCATTCGAGTTGTTGGATGTGGTCATCGCGAAGTCATCCCGTACGTGTGGCACGTACCTGGAAAAGTTATGCTGGATATCTTTGGGGACAGTGTGGCTGCCAAGATCATGGGAAAGCATATGAACTTGGGCGAAGGGAAAAATAAGAATGAATGAAGGCGCATCCATCGACACACCCAACATACCCCCTCAACAGATCAATCATGGCGAACCCCGTCCATCCTGATTCCTTTCTGTTTCTTTCCATTTCACGTTTCTCTACGGGATTCTTGGTGCAAACGGTGCCATGGAAAGAGTGAGTTCGCGTTGTCGTACCCCCCGAGATCCCTTCTAATGCATACGGAGAGAACCTGGAAGGATGGTTTTGACAGTGTTGTTTGCCACTTCTGGATGTCTGCTCACACCCATGATTCACAGAATACCCCTTCTTCAGTATTTATTGTGACACATGTATCCAATCCATGATACTCCGACCTTCGAGGCACTTTTTCCTGTTATAAAACTCGTTTGTATGGTCTCAAGTTCGATAACGGGCTGAGTGGTGCTGCCAAGTCAGAATCTTTATATTCAGGAATCGAGGGCGGTTCCACGTCCCAGAGTGAAAAAGATTATATCTTCGGGAATCGGGGATGTGAATACAATACGACTCAGCAACATGTCGCCCTCTTAGCACTGACTTGTTGGACCACTTCTTCCGATCAGCCCGACGGCAACGTTTGTCGGACATCCTGTGTTAATGTGACTCGATCGTCGCATAAGCAACCCTCCAAGGCTACATTCACTCGAAGGGATCCCCGGTACTATGGGAAGGGTCGACGGCACCTCTCTCCGTCGATGTGGCAACCGAACCAAATGATAGGATTCAGTGGCCAGCATTCTTTGATGGGATGTGGGCCGCAAGAAGGCTGTTGAAGTTTACTGCGGTATGAGGAGTCCCGTACCCCACTGAGCCCCAGAATTCTTGGCAAAGCGCTTCGTTCATTTTAGAACTCAATTGTCAATATGGGTCGTCGCCCAAATTGTGATCAGGGACGATAAATAAGCCCACATCAATGACCGATCGAAGAACGAACATTTAAGTTATCCCTGACTCTCTTTCGAACATCATCGCATGAGGCCTCAAGGCATAGTGGGATCCTGCCTAGATCAACTTTCCTTGTTCGGCAGACTCCGTCTCAACAGCCAAATTAGGCGACCATGTGAACTCTTTTGCCAATCTTTCGCAGTGCCCAGCTCTGATGCGGTTGACTGTACCTTGCCCCCTGCGGCGCATGAGGTACCTTAGAGATGCTCTCTGAGGTGGGCTGCTGCTACAAAGGCCACTGGAAGTAACTTAGACAATGCGGCTTTAAACAAAGAACTTTCAGGGTAGTTGGCAACCACTACAATAGCTATTGTCCTTGTATTTAAGGCAGCCTCTTTTGCTGCCACTGACTGTGTTTGACAACTCGTCTAACATTCGAACTCTTCCATATCGCTGTGCGATAACTTGCTCTCTGGCTGGAGCTTCGTCATTCACTTTCAGCTATCCCTCGACACACTTCTTGTTCACAATGCATCGGCCGCTCTTATTGCTGTTTGCCGTTACCCTTTTCGAATCAGTGCGCTCGCATGCCGGTGAGTGGGCTTTTCCCTGAGCTGTGCGTCCGATTCATGGATTACTGTTCAGCGATGTTCCACCCTTCGATGTGGGGGTTCAATGCTACTGGCGACACTCCCTTCTTTGGGAACGGTGTTCCAGGAGAACACGATAACCGACCCGTTGTTCCTCTGATTAATCGAACATTCGAGCAGTGGTGGCTCCACGGTTACTCCGAATACCCACCTCATCCCGAAGGTTAGTAGTGACTTTCGGTTTGAAAGTTACTCATTTCAACGGCCTTTGGTACAGACATCATGCAGCTTCCGGCCGGAGGCTCCCAAATGATTGAGATCGCTTGTGGAAAACAGTTCACGTCGTATTGGCCAATGGTCGCTTCTACGGACCAACGTAATGGGGATCCCTCCCCATGCCGTATGTCATTTTGATGATTCGTGTGAACCACTCACCGACAGAAATATACTGTAGCGGGTAGCAACACACAGGAGTTCCACACAGGTGGCCTTAATGATCTCGGAGGTTGCGCTCTTGCCATATCGTACAAGAGTAACGTATCTCAAGTTGCTCCTGAAGATTTCACTGTCTTCAGCATAAACCAAACTTGCGTATGGGAGCGTGAAACATATTTTCAAGTGCCAAAGGACATGCCACCATGCCCAAACGGGATGTGCACCTGTGCTTGGTTCTGGATTCACCAAGCGGATGCGGGTTCGGAGCAAAGTGAGTTTTTCCACTTTTTTTCGAAGGTACATGGGACTTATTCGGCTTTCATCCAGACGTGCGTGCTACCTCAGCTCATGCAATTTCTAATAACTGACAGGTGTTCTCGTGGGTCAGTATATGATCGCGTTCCAATGCAACATTGCGAACGCTACTGGAACTGTCCCAGTGGCGAAAGGGAATCCTGCCCGGCGATGCGGTGATGATCCAAGGTACAATCGGCCTGCCAATCCCGCCAATTGCACGTACGGCGCACGTGAGCCCGCATATTGGTATCAGTTTGAAGAAAATAATGTGAGTTTGTGCCCAACGAAGGTTACCTCCGGCTGAATCCATTGGGTCCAGTTCTTTGAGGATACTCTGGACCCACCTGTCTACACACCTCTGTATGGCTGGACGGATGGCGCACAGGATGACATCTTTCGTACGGTCCCTTTTGGGACTGACCCCAACACAGTTCCAAATCCTATCACAATGTCGGGATCTACAACGACACCTACACCCACGGAATCATCGACCACTTCGGTTACTCAGTCCTCTTTCACCTCTTTGACTGTATCGACTTCATCCTCCGCCTTCTCTTCATCTTCATCCTCAACATCGACGCCTTTACCAAGCCCGCAAAGATTAGAGACCGTATGGTGAGTGCTACCCTCGCCCATTCCCATGTATTCCCAATTCTAATGTTTCGGTGCATAATTCAGTATGCGCCCGACGGAGTTCTCGCGACGACCTGGAGTTATGGCTGTCCTTGCGGACCGTCTAGGCCTTGGCTCACTACGCCAGAGACAGACAGCAAGGCGCCTCGTCAGAGTTGAGGGACGTTTTTAAATGGGCGAGCATTGAAGCTATGACTCGATTTACCGACACTTTACTTAATTTATGTATATTTGATGGGCGTAATATTGTAGACACCAATTTGTGATAAATGAGCGCATGCGCTTGATCTTGACCCTAGTTGGAGGTGCGCCAACCACGGTCATCGTGGTTACCGTCGAGGCTAGCTTCCGGAGTGACTATGCATCATACTGAAGTCCCCAGATCGTCTGGGTCTCAATGTCTAGAATTGTGAACGGGTTTGAATTCATCTATGCTTAGGCTGTAGAATGTTGGATCTCCAGTGTGTACTCATACAGGGTGTAACCACATCGCAGACGCATTCTCGCAACGCATGTACATATGTATTTACATGTATTTGCATCGAACATGATCTGTGCATGCCATCCCGACCCATCAGGTCCTGACAGCATCGGCCGCCTTAATAACTATGCGCACAGATTGCCCATGACTGCCCCGAAGCAGGGAATCCTACCGATGCGGACAGATCTAAGTGTGTCAAAACGATGGACATGTTTGTGGGGATGATTTTGTGTGGCCCAGAAATTTCTCGACCGAGTCACGCCTTTGAGCCCCTCTTTGAAGATAAATGAATGCTGCGCAGTGACAGATAGCCGAGATGTACAGGCAGAACGAGATCCATTACACTCGGAAGCCACGTTCACATGCAGGCGTGCAACCGGAGGTCTGATTCGCAAACTTGGTCACTGGTCCATATCGAAAGAGGGAAAGGCCCTCCGATACATCAGGCATCAGTCCACACTAACATCCCCCTACCCTCTGTTAGTTTGAAGTACCATTTTCCCAGGTCGGGTGACCATGGCGTATGCCGAGCGGCATTACCATCACCACTGACAATGGATCGGGTTGGAGTATCACCATCCGACCTCAGGTGCTACCGCTGCCTCCGTAGCCTTGAGTCTTATGCTTCTTGGTATCAATGCCTGGACTGCGAACAAGTTCGTTTATGCTTAAGTTGTGGAGTTGCGGGTCTCCACCCACCACCTGCTGTCCACGATGTCTGCCATCCAATGCTTTATTTCAGGCGCCAACTAGGCTCAGCTCCCACCATCCCATGGAGCGTTACGCGCACGAGTGACATCGCGGTTATCGATCTAATCAGGGGTCGGGCCCTTCGACGGAAGCCACAGCATGATGATGTCATTTGTAACTCTTGCCGCAAACCCGTCAGAGGGCCAAGGTATAAGTGTATACAGTGCAGTGATTTCGATTTGTGCAATACATGCATGGTGTCCCAGGGCTATGTTCACTCTCGTTCACATCGATTTATTATGTTTTTCGAGACGAACAGTATCGTAGTTTTTCCCGGGGGTATAGATCCTTGTAGCATATTTCCAGTCCCGGATAGAGCATTCAGGCCGCCAATCCGAGACAGTCCTCCGTCCAGATCTTCTCACAGCGCCGCGCGATGTAACTCGTGTGGCCGTCCAGAAATCCAGGGGATCCGATATAAATGCTTGACGTGTCCAGGTCAGTCAGATTGTAGCCCAGACGACGTCGGGATATGCTCATTTGAAAGGTTAGATTTCAACGCATGTCGCGTGTGTTTTAGGTAAGTATCGGCAGAGCTTGTGTTTCCATCATCGGAGCCAAGTGATTAATGGAGATCATGCCAGACGAGCGCGCACGACCCATTCTGATCATTCGTTTGTGAGGGTAAATTCCAATTCTGACATAATCCAACCAAGTGACACTCCGACAACCGTCCAACATGGCGTGTCGTGTCATCATTGTGGTGGCCGAGTATGTGGAGCACGCTATATGGTGAATGCGCCCTTTTCTTGATCGTTTACCGGTTCCTCAATGGAGGATATATTTATGACTAGTGCCTGTACCCCGCTTGCCGAAACATCAATTTCTGCGAGAGTTGTGAGGCATTGCCAAGGCCACATCGAGTCCATCCCGCTTCGCATCCTCTCGTGAAGTTCAGAGAGGATTATGTGTCCATGACAACAATTGGCCCACAAGATGGGGACTCGGGGATGCCTAGATCCTATTGGGAGGCCATATTTGAGTTTGCCCACACTTCGGGGCTCCCTCTGTTAGGACGTCTCAGGCAAGGTGCTCCCCAAAATGCTTCTTTGAATTTTCCTTCGACCGGCCCTTCAACTTCTTCCTCGGAAGTGACTGAAAGGCTCAATCAACCTGGGTCAAGACACGGCACGCAGGGTTCCCAGAACGTTTCTTCTTTAGCGGGCCCTTCAGATCCTTCCTCAGCGAGAACCGATCGGCCTGTACTGGGACGTCAGACCCCCGAGAGACCCCAGGATGTTTCTTTGAGCCATCCTTTAGCTGGGCGTCCGAATGCCCCTCCGACGATCGCTGAAGGACGTACCCAATCTCTATCAGGACCCTACATCCAGGACAGTAGTAGTTCTTTGATTCACCCCTTAGCGATAGCTGAGAGGGCCAATCGGCCTGTGTCACGACATCATGCCCATGATATTCCCCAGGTCATATCGTCGAATACTCCTCTGGCTCGTCCTTCAAATCCCTCCCCGGAGACAACTAACAGGGTCAATCAGCCTGTATTAGGGAGTCGTATCGAGGATTCTTCCCAAACGACTGCTTTGGATCCTCTGTTAGGAAGTCCTCGAAATTCCGCCTCAGCTATGGCTGAAAGGGACAGTCAACCTCTGTCAGGAAATCGCATCCAGGATGTTCCCTTAAATCCTGGTCCTTCAAATCCTCCCTCAGCGACGACCGAAAGGACCGGTCAATCTCGGATCCAGGGTTCTCCTCAGAATGATGCTTTGAATCTTCCTTTTCCCGGTCCTTCAATTACTCACTTAGATCCTCTAGCTGGCCCTTCAAATTCTCCCACTGTGGAGACTGAAGGTACTAATGAATGCCCAATATGTTATGAGGACATGGCAAACAATGAAGTCGTCGGTGCGAATTGCGCCCACACACTATGCACTTCTTGCAAGGAGCAAATCATCGCAGTGGCGAGGGCGCATGGCCGGAGAGCGACTTGCCATGCTTGTCGACGGCCTTATCCCGATCAGGACAATGGAGAAATCAGACCTAACATCTTGAATCCTCGCTTTCATGACTTGCTGCTTTCACTAATGCGGAATGGGCAGCATAACAGATGATCCACATCGAGCCCTCCTTCTCTGTCAACTTCTTGAGCGCTTGAATCTGTACCATTTTATTTCTTTGTTTGTTGTATCTTTTATCGTTCCAGCGGAGTTGGCCGAATTCCCTTGTACATTTGTATGTCTACTCGTTATTGTACATGTCCTTGTGACTGGGTGCCAAAGTGCGGAAGCCTCGGGTTTCTTCACATATGTCAGAGGCTAGGCATAGCTAGAGCTCAGTCTGGTTGTGGATACAATATTGGTGTATGGGTGTTGAGAGGAATCAGTGTCTAGTATGCGGCGTTCCTCGTGACTTTGGCGCAGCACGATTATCAATATTCGCATATTACTCACCACCGCAAACGATCAGCCCGATAATGGATCAGATAAGAGTTTCACCGCCATCTGATTTGAGATGTCACTGCTGTCGTTGCAGCCTTGCATCCCATGACTCTTGGTACCAGTGTCTGGATTGCGAACGAGTTCGTCTGTGTCTGGATTGTGGGGATAGGAACCACCCATCACCTGCCGTTCACGATTCCAACCATCTTATGCTCTGTTTAACACGCCCCCCTGGGTCAACTACCAATATCCGATGGAGTGTCACACACACTGATGACGACGCAGTCATCGATTTCATTCGGGGCGGGCAATCCGAGATAGGCCAAGGCACCATGCTTTTTGCGATTTCTGTCGCGAAACGATCAAAGGCCCAAGATTTAAGTGTATACAATGCAGAGATTTCGATTTATGCAATCTCTGCATGGTATCTCGTGGTTCTTCACACACGCGTTCACATCGTTTCGTCATGTTTTACGAGACGGCGCACATGGCAACCCTTCGCCGGGGGATCGATCCTCGTAGCCGTTTTCTAGTCGCGAACGGACTCCGTGGGTCCCGTATGACGCGTGACCCTAGCGTGCGATGTGACTGGTGCCAACAACAAATCAGCGAGGTCCGATATAAATGTTTGACATGCCCAGGTTAGCCAGATTGTTGACTCAACTATGCTGGGAATTGCTCATTGGAGGGTTAGATTTCGACGCGTGCGATGCATGTTTTAGGTAGGTGTTGGGAGTTCTTGGCTGCCACATCCTAAATCATGATTGTGTTAGGCGCATGCGTGGGGCTCATTCTGATCATTCCTTCGTCAAAGTGAACTCCGATTCCGACATCATCGAACCGAGTAACATTCCAACTGTAGTCCGACATGGAGTGTCATGTCACCGTTGTAGGAACAGGATACGCGGGGCACGCTATATGGTAAATGGCTCCTCTTCCTCCCCGCTTGTCGATCTGATGAATTGACGACCAGTGCCTGCACCCTACGTGCCGGGATATCAATTTCTGTGAGAATTGCGAGGCCTTACCGGGACCAAGTCGAGCTCATCCTGCCTCGCACCCCCTCATAAAGTTCAGGGAGGATTACACAGCTGTAACATCAACGCGTTCGCGAGGGGAGGATGTAAAAATGCCTAGATCCTATTGGGAGACCGTGTTCGACTTCGCTCGCAGTTCGGGAGAAGCACTGTTAGCACGTCGCACCCAGGATTCTCCCGGAATAACTCCTCGAATCGTTCTTTGGTTCGCCCATCAAATTCTTCCTCAACAGCGGCCGAAAGTACCAATGAATGCCCAATATGCTACGAGGACATGACTAACAACGAGACTCTCGGAGCGAATTGTCCCCACACATTGTGCACTTCTTGCAAGGACAGGATCATCGCACAGGCGAGGGCGGAAGGTCGGAGACCGACTTGCCATGCATGTCGTCTTCCCTATGTTCGTCAGAACTCGGATCAACTTGTTGAAGTTGAGCCTGACGACATGGTCTTTCGCTCGCAAGGTTTGCGGCTCTCACGATTGCTTGCATCTATGGCTGTAATGGGAGACCCTTGAAAATTTCTTGTTTTTCCGTAGCATCTCATCTAGACATCTAGTTTGTTTCACATCATGGAGTTGTTATCTGGCTGGTGGCCAGGTGGTGGCAATCTCAAGTATAGCAATTCACATCTCGTATATATTTATCACACTGCCATCTTCCTGTCAATGTCATTCGGTCTTGACCTTGTTTTTCTCGGCATATGCCGATAACGCACCTGTCTGAAATGGATTCATCCCCGCCATGTTACTCCTGTCATTGCGATCTTGGATTCCATCGTCATTGGCAATGTCTGGATTGCGACCGAAGTCTGTGTTTAGAATGCAAGGACGTGTTTGACCCATCACGCGCCGTTCACGATGCCAACCATCTCATGCTTTGTTTATCATACCTCTCTCGGTCAACTCCCATCGATACCACACGCACTGATGATGCCACTGTCATTGATTTCATCAGGGGTCGGGCAATTCGTGACAGACCAATCCACAATGCAGGCTGCGATTTCTGTCACGAAACGATCAGAGGTCCAAGATTCAAGTGCATACAGTGTAGAGATTTCGATTTTTGCAATACCTGCGTGGTGTCCCATGCTTATTCGCACACGGATTCACATCGGTTCGTCATGTATTACGAGATGGCGCGCATCGCAACCATTTGGCAAGGTATCAACCCTCGTGGCCTCTCTCCGATCGCGGACGGAGGATGTAGCGTGCGATGTGACTGGTGTCAACAACAAATTGAGGAGATCCGATATAAATGTTTGACATGCCCAGGTTAGCCAAATTGCGACTCAAATCCCGTTGGGAAACACTCATTTGGAGGGTCAGATTTCGACGCATGCGACACATGTTTTAGGTATGTATTAGGAGTTCTTTGCATCCCTATCTTGAATTAGGTATAGAATCCGCTAATGATTGTGGTAGACGAATGCGCGGGACTCATTCTGATCATTCCTTCATCAAAGTGAACGCCGATTCCGATATCATCGAACCAACCAACATTACAACCATAGTCCGACATGGTGCGAACTGTCACCGTTGTAAGACCAGGATATTGGGGGTACGCTATGTGGTAGGTGCCTCCATCTTCCTTCCGGCCTGTCAATCTCTTAGTGGGAGATATGTTGGCTTAGTGCCTACACCCTGCGTGCCGGGACGTCAATTTCTGTCAGAACTGCGAGGCCTTACCGGGACCAAGTCGAGCCCATCCTACTTCACACCCCCTCGTAAAGTTCAGGGAGGATTATACATCCGTAACATCCATGCATTCACAAGGGGAGGGTTCAGAAATGCCGAGATATAATTGGGATGTCGTCTTTGAATTCACTCGCAATTCAGAACAAGCGCTGTTAGCACGGAGCGCCGAAAATCCCCCTCAGAGTGATTCCTCGAATCGTTCATCAGTTTATCTATTGAATTCTTCCTCAGTAACAGCCGAAAACGCCAACGAATGCCCGATATGTTTCGAGGACATGACGAACAACGAGGCTCTCGGTGCGAATTGTCCCCACACACTGTGCACTTCTTGCAAGGGCAGGATTGTTGCACAAGCGATGGCGGAAGGCCAGAGGCCGACCTGTCATGCATGCCGTCTTCCCTATGTCGTTCAGGACCCGGATCAAATCGTCGATGTTGAACCGGATAACTTGATCTCTCGCTTGCGGGATTTGTGACTCTACGATTACTAGCGTTTATGGTTATAATGGGAGACACCCTGACGAAATTCTTGTTTTTCTTTCATCTCCCTTTTTTAGCGCTCCGATCTGTGCTATCTCATCGAGACATCTAATTTGTTTCACATTTCTCCTAGTTAACGTACTCCTCCTTTTGGGCTTTCTGATTATCATTTTCATTCTAGTAGGGGAATTCGACTGTACAAAATATCACATGGAGCTGAGTGCCAAGAGGCGTGAGTTCGATGACGTAAGCTCGGATCGCCGAAGTTCAGCTCGTCCGCAGTCAGCTTGCTTTCCCTCTCCACATCCTCAGCTTGCAGTGTAGTAATTCGCAATGGATTTCAGTGGGTATCATGATAACGGGAGGGATTAAGCTAATCGCGGCCTTCAACAGTCTGCATTCCATTAGTATGTAAGTGGTGAATGGTGTTTTGGACGATGTAGGGGTTCTATGCTACTGACAAATCCACTACAAAAGTCGGTTGTCCGACGAAAATCAGTCAAACTGATGATGGCACTAATGCTAGAGTGGGTTTGTTCTCTTCTTACCAAGATCCGATTTCGTTGACGTGGAATTTCAAATGGCTAGGTCTGTCCCCGGTGCCACAATAGTACGCATCCGCAACTGCCCTTTCATTCCGCTCACTTTGATAATTGGATGAACGCTCATCCATCTTCCTGTTAGTCTCCGTTATCTCGGCCAAATCACGAACATGGTTCGAATTGTAAGCACCCAAAGCGCTTTTGAGACAAACAAACCTTTCACTGGCTTCTCGCATATGTCATTTCAGCTGCTTCGTACCTCTTATCCCCATGTCTTCGCACCACATCTGGTTCTGCGGAATTTGTAGCTGGGAAGCTCGTCAAGGTCAAGGCTTTGAGCCTATGTTACCTGGTCAGGGTCCTCCTCCCGGTCCATGGCAGCAAGGGTGGTATCCTGGGCCCCAGTCGCCACCCCGAGCTCATGCGCCACCAAAGAATTCCTAGCATGGCAATGGTTGTATGCTCTGGTGACGGTAGCCAGAAAGACAGTCAATAAGGAATGGAATGGACGTTCGAAATTTTGCTTGTATTCAGATTGTGTCATGTACTCATCCTACTGTGCATTAAGTGCCAAATGTCGCTTTGAATTTGAATTCACAGGCGCTCGCGCCTATGATCGAGTAGTAAATGGCTCGAGAATAGTGTACAGGCTTCATTATGCATGGCTAGCCAAGGGAGTAAGACAACAAATAGTGTTACAACGATAAGATATGGGTGAGAGCGTTTGGTTGGACATATATGCCTGTTGGTCTACGAGGGTTAAGAAAATTAGTTCCTAGAACCCATGTAAAACAAAAGAGATATATACCGTCATCATGAATGATTTTTGTTCTTGAGCGGCGCTCCACCGAAGAACATGTCAAGCCCGCTATCCGTTCCTCGTATGTTATAGGAGCAGGGACACATGGATGGTGCACAGCACCGGGTTGGTAGACTTTCTCGGGGAGGGAAACAGTAGATGCATCATCTGGAATAGGAAGTTTCTCCACGCTGAAATAGCTGGGAGGGCGGGGATGACGCTCGATGTCTTTTTGTAATTGGGTCAGGGCAGCCATTCGGCGTCGGTATTGTCTTATGATGAAGGCGATAATGAGTGCCAAGAGGAGCAGCACGCCACAGGCTGTTCGGGGGAGATGTCAGTGATCAAGCTGGATCCATAAGGAAGATGACGTACAAAACAACACCAGGATAGTGGTATTGAAGGTAGACCAGTGACTGCTGGTCGCAGATGTCGGGGAGAATGTAGGAGAAGGGATGACTGATGATGTAGACGACATGGTCATTGATCCCGTTTTTTCTTTTTCAAAGTGGACGTTGAGAAGTAGGAGAGGGAACGTCAGGTAACTTGTGGAGGAGCATGATCCTGCCACCAGCGCCTAATATATGTCTTCCTGGGTGAGTGTCGACGTCTCATCACCATCGTAGACGCCCAGAGTGATGGTGAGTAGACTCTGAACTCGAAAACAAAAGATTTGTTTGGTGTCTCAATACATCAATAGGAAAACCCTGTCAATTGGAGCAAACCCTCGTTGTCCTGGTGAGTTGATCAGACGTTCGGCACCTGCCGGATATGAATCTCATTTCACACGACTAATCACGACGGTAATCGTGCCGCATGGTCCTTGCGTTGCAGCGCTGACAGTGATGGGGTCCTGCGGGTGTTCTGGTGGTTTGTGGTGTCTATATACGTGACTTGATTTGGCTCAGTCAACATTAATCTCACTTTCATCTTGCCATGGAGGGATTCTTCGCTTGATACATTTTGACCAGTTGGCGTACCGTGGCATTGTAGACTTCATCCAAATTGTAAAGGAGCATCATCAGCACATCCAGGACGCAAAATGAGCAACAAGTAGAATTTTAGTCATTATGGCATTATTTTAATGATGGTGATATTGGTTGTACTTCCTCGTACATCTTGTATGTAGAGTCTCCTCAAGTATTCCGACTTATATTGTAGCGTTGCCCAATCCCCATCTGTGGTGGCAAAGCGCGCGGATCCGCAAAGCGTGGAGTGTTGTCTGGCCAAAAGTATGCATATCCCTTTTGATTTACTTCTTTCTTCATTCCTCGTTTCTATTTCAGGAGGCAATCAAAAGCAACTAGAATTTGAAAGTGATGATAACAAGCACCAAACAATGGAACATCGAAGTCAGCCCGTCCATAGCAAAAAAAAAAACGGCCACCGCGCGCAGCCATTTCCATGGCTGCCCTCAACAAGAGGCCTGAACCAGCCGCTAATATACCCGGTCCATCTCAGAAGACAAGGCCCTGACCAGTCCCTCGTGTTGCTGCCCGCAAGAGTTGAAATTTCTTCGCTTACGACTTTGTTTTCCACTCTCGGATCTAATTTACTCTGTGTCTTGCTTAGGATATGCTGTCCGTGCTCAACAACTTCGCTGCATTTTTTACCATCTTTCAACAATTCCTATAGCCTGATAGAATTAGTGTGGCGTAAGCTTTAATTGTAGGGCTTTGTAGGCGTAGCTTTTTTTTTTCTTTCCTGGAACTTCCTTGTATGCCAACGTTGCTATTCAGCGAACGTCGTTGCGTCTGAAAGAGAGAAAGGTTTTGGAACGTCTCCCTCAGGTCTCTAACCCGAGTTCTGAGGTGAGAACAACTTTATACTCATTATAATGTCACCTATGTTCCCTTGTACACCAGCATCACCAAACGTGACGATGGTAAACTGCGTCTTTTATTCAAATTGAAATTTCGGTAATACGCGATAGACTTGTTGTAAACGCGTCGTTTCAAAGATGGCAACGGTTCACTTGCAGTCCAAAAGTAATACAGAGGAGAGAAATATAACCAAGTACTTACATACAGCACTCCAGCGCCCATATTTGTTTCTCTGCAATAATATTCTAGGCTTTTCTACGCGGTACCTTCCATGCATGTGACCCACGTTCAACACTAACTTGTGGTAAACACGAAGGTATTTTACTGTTTTTTTTATCTACTTTAGTAGAGGCTGGGAACCTGCATAGTTTTTTAGGTGACCCCAATTCCATGTTGTGAGAACTGCGGGCCGCCGTGGGAACCTGCACCTGACCAATGAACAAGGATTACAACAAACGATGGCAAATTTGATCCGCTCAGCGAAATCTGGAAGTGACTGGACAAGGAACGAGCTAGCTGCTTACCACATCGAGTGCCATCGCGAAGAACCGCTCGCGTTTTTCGGTGTTCAGGCCTTACCGCAGCCACTTGTTGACCCTGAGCTCCTCACTTCCCTCGATGCAGCACAAGCAGCCGATGATCGGAACGCTGAGCTTCTCAATCTTTTAGATATGGCGAATGCACCCCGCTCGGGCGAATCTGCGGTTGACGATTTTGCGGCTGGGCTGTTCAGGGCCCTCGGTTACGCTAGACGCAACCGAGTCGTTCGTACTCGGACAGACCTGAACCTTTTCGTTTGTGGCGAGTTCAGACACGCGAAAAACCGATGTCTGCATAATAGATCGTGATCAAAACGATATTCTTTTGCTCGTTCAGGAGGACAAACGTTACGAGGAAGGTGACGGCGCAGACCCTGAAGCGCAGCTAATCGCAGAAGCTATAGCCGCATTCGACACCAACAACAAGCAGAGAGTCAGAGCCGATCTGGATTCACTTGACGAAAAGGTTTGCCCCAACGCCTTCTTTCCGTTGTCATACATAGTTGAATATGATCAAGATAATGCCTGGCATCACGATGATGGGCACGGCGCCGACATTCTACAAGATCCCCGTCACAAATGATTTGCAACAGCATGTGGCTCAGGGCACTTACCCCCCCAACCCCACCTGCGTCATGTTCTGTCAGCCACCGGTACCTCGACCTGCTCGCCGGTATAGTGAGGGAATGAAGCCCCTCGATAACAGGTGTCAGATCCTTAGTTGTTACGAGGCTTTCAAGACCATTATTGGAATCTGATCTCACACTGTTTCAGGAACACATGAACTTTTTTGAGGATACTGTACACACATGACCAACAACCGGATGGTTTTGGACCGTGACAAAATTTTATGTCGGACATTCAACCGGCAGGCCTGAATTTAGCGTGACAGCCAACCGGGAGCCAGGAACAGCGTGACAACGGAAGTGCCCGGCCAGAGAATTTGAAAATAATAATTGAACTGAAAATCTTGTGTTCAGTTACACCATACTCAAAATTTATGTAGTTTCTTTTCTGGGTGGCATTATGGATGGATTTTCTCTTGCTCGCCGCATTGCTTCTTGTGCTGATGAAGCTATCACATACAAGAATCTTCCTGCCTTTCTCATCGGACCCTACTTCCCTCATGAAACCCTGTCCATCAGGGAATTCATTTCCTTCCAGCTTCCTCCCATTCAACCCCCCACAAAAAACCCTGGGGCATGCCTCAGTCATAAACCACCATCTATGGATCTACTCTCAGAGGATGATGTCTGTGCAGTGGATTGTCCTAGCCAACTAGAAATGAGGGAACTCATCACAGAGTTTGAGATCAATGATGAGAGCTCTCTTACCTCAGTTGAGATTGCCACTAGTTGCGTCCCAATACTCATTCTGGAAATTTGAAAGATCCATTTCCAGTTATTGGATCTTCAAAATTTGTGGAATGACTTGCTTTGGCAGGCAGAGGATTTGATAATGTGTTACCCCAGTCAGTGATTTGCAATAGAGGCAGCCCAATGGAGACTTACTTCATGTGGGTGGAACAAAGAGATCTGAGGGGTTTCACACATGGGACAGTGCACCATTGGGGCTTTGATGTGATATATCTAACAGAATAACTGCTTGCTCTAGTAGTAAAGCTCAGTCTCACTATATGTGCAAGAACTGAGGAAAAGGGAAACTAATTCAAAAGATTGAATATAGTTTGTGGACTTCACGGATAAGTCCAAAGTGACCAAAAATAAGTAAGAAGAAAAGGTGTTGTGACCAAGTAGTCACGCTACCGTGGGAATGTGGCTGTATGAAAACTCGTCCGGCCTCCCATAGCACATGGTTCCTCCAACAATATCTCTGTTTCGTGCCTGGTCACAACAGATATTATTCATCATATTGAAATTTTACAAAGCAATGTAGAAACTACGAACCCAATGGTTAGGCTGATAACCCTGCTTGAGACACAACTTCTTGCTGGATTGTCAGGGCACACACCCTGACTAGCCTGGCCCTGGATCCTGCCCTCATGTGACTTCCAGGTATCCCCGGAAGTTTTTGCCATATTGGGGCCACTGTGGGAAAGTGAGAAGTTAACCTTCTTCTCACTTTCTTACCCACAGTAGCATTGTGTCAGGGCATACCCTGCCTGACCCTGCGCCACGCTGCCCTACTCTGCTCCCCTGCCATCACTCCCTGCTCCCCCTATCCCTTCTTTCTTCTTTCTTCTTTCTCCTTTCTTTCTATTCCTATTCTATGGTCGACTTCCTCTTTCTCCATGTATGTTAGAACTGGGTGAGGGCAGATGATTCCAGAGGGGAACTGGAGACTTAGCAAGGAGGGACCTTGGCCTCAGCGACTCAAGCGGAGCACTGTGCCATTGCTGTTTGTCCATTTGGTCCTTAATTTCATAGGTGGCAAGCAGGAAGTCTCTAGGGGGCATTTCAGGTTGATTTTAGACTAAGGGCCTAAAACGAGTATGTACAAGCACTGGTATATAATGGAGGGGGTGAAAGCACAAGGGAAACAAAGGGGGTCTGAATCGGAACGAAGGCGTCTGAACGGGAACAAAGGGATGGTGGAAGTGGAGCGGTGCTGAAGGTCATAGGGCAGAACCTGTGGTACATCCAAAAGGAGATAGGGAGGGTGAGGCCCAGAGGGGCAGGAGGGTGAGGTGAAGTGGGGATGATGACTAACTGGCTAGAATGGGAAGAAGCAGCAGTCCAAATAGGGATGAGGGGAAAACGCAAAAGATACATTACAAGCGGCGAAAGTGCTGAAGATGATCCATGGAGCTCGGAGGTTATGGAGGTTATGGAGGCGGGGTTGAAAGTCCGAGGAATATTGGCAATGGTGTTTATGTAGTATGAGGTCACCAATGCAATGGACTAAAGCTGAGGTGGAGTCAAAGTCTGAGGTCGGAGCTATGATGGAATCTTGGAGCAAAGGTATGAGTGTAGTCCGAGTTTGGGGTATGGGACAGCAGTGGAAGGCCATAACTTGGTGGAGGGTCGGTGGAAGAGGGTCAGAGGGAAGAGAGAGGAGAGGGGAGGAGAGGAAAGGGGAGGAGAGGAAAGGGGAGGAGAGGAAAGGGGAGGAGAGGAAAGGGGAGGAGAGGAAAGGGGAGGAGAGGAAAGGGGAGGAGAGGAAAGGGGAGGAGAGGAAAGGGGAGGAGAGGAAAGGGGAGGAGAGGAAAGGGGAGGAGAGGAAAGGGGAGGAGAGGAAAGGGGAGGAGAGGAAAGGGGAGGAGAGGAAAGGGGAGGAGAGGAAAGGGGAGGAGAGGAAAGGGGAGGAGAGGAAAGGTGTCAGGTCCGAAGGTGAGTATCGGAGTGGACGGGAGAAGGGTAGGAGAGTGACAGAAGGGTGGAGGTGTCATGAGGAGGAAGAGGAGGAGTGAGAGGAGGAGCAGGAGGAGGGTGGTGAGAGGAGAGGTGTTCAGTCTGAGGTGAGTATTGGAGCAGACGGAGATAGGGTAGGAGAAGGATGGAAGGGTGGAGGGTAGGACTCCGGAGGTGGTGAAGATGGAGGTCTGGGAGTCGGTTTGGGATCGGGTATGCACGGATATGACAATGTACCACCACACCCTAAGGCCACTGCCTCTATCGCTGCACCTGCCGCATGCATCCCTGCCTGCACAGCGGCCACCCTTGGGATCTCCCATGGAGACACCTGGAATGGTGCGGCTGTGTGCAGAGATGACATGGTCCCTTTCATGTGACCCTAGCCGCATGTATATAACAGCACCTGGGGTGGGAACAGAAGAAGCAGCCTTCTTCTCACTTTCCCACTTCAGACTAAGTGGTCAGGGATAGGGCTCCTAGCGGATCGGATCGGTCTGGATCCAGATCAGAATCCGCAGATTTTTAGAGGTTTGAAACAAAAACTGTATCTGGCGGTTAGAAATCCGCGGATATGCGGATCAACCGCGGATTAAAGATAATACGTTCCAAAATTATATTTCGTTAGAACGGCCCTGATGAGAGCTTTCTAACAATACCAAATATGTCCATATTGGTGGAGAACTGACAGAGATATGGGGAAAATGGCACAAAAGATGGGTGTCAGATGCCAACTTTGGAAATAACGGGCCTGGGTGGTTAGATAGGACTTGAAAAAATTGGGAGAAAATATGGAAACATTGGAGGGGTATCTAGGAAAGTGGGATATATTTAATCCATGGATAATCCACCTATCTGCGGACTAGAAACTGCAGATATTATCCTCTCAAAAGCCACAATAGGGTAAGAGTTACAGTAAATATAGGGAATTTCACCCTTATTTGCCTCAGATCTCCTGCATATCTGCAAGCAATAAATCATGTGATAAAACTGCAGATAATCCGCAAATCCGTGGATTAAAAACCATGGATATTTCCCTCTGAAAATCCAAAACCGGATCTGTGAATTTCTGGATGCGGTTGCGGATATCTGTCATATCCATCCCTGGCCATCGACTTCCAATCCCTCCGATCCCTCCGATCCACTTCCGCTCCTTCCTCACTAACCTCGGAGCTCCTGTATCCCGCAATCCCCTTGGTACCCCTCGATGGTCACCACCCCCTCCTTTCAATTTATTACCTACACCTCCCTAAGTATGGAGCCCCGAAGGCTTCCGGACAGCTCCGACGTCCGCTAGTGCACTCCCACCTCCGCTGGGCAATACACTTGCTTGCCCTGCAAGCTCACCTTCGGGCCTATCCCTCCTTTCCGTTTCTGGGTTATCGCCTGCCTTTCTGCTAACCCCGTAACCTGACTCGTCGGTAATATTCAATCGGCTAATGTCTAACCCTGTTAGCTCCGCTCCGCTCGGCTCCGCCATTTGCAGACCCGCCCCCGCTGTAACTATATATACTTAACTTGTACATAGGTTACACTCCAGTAATAAAATCGACTAGAGTTTACCCTCTTCAGTTCTGGTGGCCAGTTAGTAAGTTAGGGCACGGACGTGTTTACTAGGCACAGCGCTCCTGGCATAAGTTGCTGAGGCTGAAGCCTTCCATCACGGAGACACTCCTTCGTCTCGACCCGGTCTCTGACAATATCCACAGATCATCCGATCTGCTAGGAGCCCTAGTCAGGGATGCTCACCCTGTGACAGGACCGCCACTACACATAGCCGCTACTCGTTGTAGGCGGGATAATTGCCCACGCACAGAGCCGGCTCGGATACCCGCTTCCACCATTCAGAAAACCCCTTCCATTCATGCGACAACTCGATACGGATTTGACATATAAAAATAGTGCTAATTCGTACGATTCCGACGATACCAAGAACGTCCTAATCGGTGGAGAATTGACGGAGTTCTATGTTGGGCAAGTTAGGCACGGGCATGTGCGGGCGTGGGAATCTCAAGCGGCAACCCAGAATTCCAGCCTCACTCGTTCCCACAGGGTCTAATAAATTGGTAAAAATGTTTATCGGCTGTGTGAGAGTTATCTCCGGCTTGATTTCCAATTTCGGCTCATAATTCCGTAAATCCGTTGAGAAATCACTTATTTTCTTATATTTTCATATTTTGCCATCATTTCAGTTATTGATTGATATTCTTTTATTGTTACTGTTACCCTTTTTTATTATTTCGCCTAATAAGGTACCCAGGTGCCATATGGTACCAATATTTGCCATCTATTATTTCTAAAAATAATTGTTTCTTATAATCCTGTACATACCGGATTTTTGAAAAGAAGTTCTCCCCTCCCCCAAAAATTCTTTAAGGTGCTAGGACACACTAGAGTGGGTGTGAGTGTGTGGAATTCCAACAGTAGGAATAAGGGCAACAATCTAGCCTGCTGTCAGGGCCCGGCCTCGG